CGATAGTAAACCCACAGCCGACTTCACTGATCGTCCCCTTGCCCTCGACACAACGTTGGACCAAAGGGTAGACAACGAAGTAATTCTGGAATAGAACTATAGCAGAGGGGGATCTTCATAAGACTAACCTGGTCAGGTCTTCTACTCGACGTTGTGTACCATCCTCTGGGGAGAACATCGGCATATAAGAGAGAATCACAACTACCACAAGGGAGGGCCGACAAGATCACCAAGCACTATATATCATTATCCTAATCGTCAGCGACCTATACAGCTCACACTTTACATACTAATAAAATATGCGGTGAATGGATCACACGAGTGTCTAGGCGATGCTTTCATCATAAACTATGAACACGTACATACGTAGTAGACGAGGAGCAAACGGTAACTCGACAAAGAGTGTATGGTATTGGGAGAATTACTGCATGGGAGTCGTCACGCCTGGTCCGTTACGTCGGTTGCCCACCCAGCCTTAACGTAATTGTAGAAGTCGGAGCGGCTCAAATTGTAACTGACCATTACAATGAGGGAACTCTACTGAGGAGAAGAGGCGAAACCACAAGCATGAATGCGGAAGAGCACTCCTCCTAGTAGAAGCCTCTTCGAGACGCTTACTCCCTGTCCCTATCGTAGAAATTCACCTCGCCGGTGAGCAAAGACCGATGGTGAATTTCTCGGTTGGGCCGAATTGCTATCTCGGGGACAGGTGGAGGTGGCTGTAGATCAGAAGTCAGATCTAAAACCCTGCTATACCGTGACTCCCTCGTGAATCCAATCATGTACCTGATGACCAGAATCGATCGCGGTGAGGAGGAGGAGCACTAGTGGAACTTACTCTTCTAAGAGGTCTGAGTACTTATAGACAAACTTCCGTTCAGCCGGGGAAAGGCGTCGACCGGCGATGGTATCACCTGCCGCCTTCACCCCAGACGACCCATCCTCTCCACCATCAGTAACCTGAAGACAACAACAACAAAAACGAATCAAACGATGACCACTTTGATACATGAATACGTCTATATTCATACCCTGTACGAGCATAGTAGTGGCCATTACTACTCCCTCACTGTTCGAGATAGTGATGGCTGGATAACCTCACCGAAATTCAATTCTTCTCGTGTTTTCGACGGTAGTAGTCGCTACGATACATGATAATTCTACGTCATAACGCACATATACTCTACTACTTCACAATAGTAATGCTACAATAATGCAACCTATCAACATCATCTTCCGTTTCGATGGATTTATCAATTGAGACATAAGGCACAGAGTCGATAGTACTGGTCGAGGCCCTATGAGGTCAGCCAACACATAGGCCGAGCCAGCTTGCCATCGAAGACACATGAGCACATCTAGTCGATATTGGAGGTAGGCCAAAACGCCTGAGGGCAATGAGGATATGAGTTGGCCAGAAGGAGGGCGTACATTGTCGATTCCGAAGAATGGCGTCCAAGTAGACGACAGGGCTCAAGGATGCTCTCTTATTCGTCTTGTTGCTACCACCAAAATCATCATCGTCATTGGCAGGCAGTCGGCTGGCCACGTGTTGTGCAAGCAGAAGCCTCTGGAACAGGTCACCTGAATGAGAGCGAATACAGGGGTCCATGATTCGGGTTAGGGTACCCATTTCCTTCACAACCGAGCGAATCTTCTGGGCATCGTAATTAGGCAACCACTCGGACTCTCTGGCGCTTCGTACCAGACTGACAGCGTTGGCAGTGAGGCCACCGAGAGACGAGGACGATGGAGCTTGCTGAGGTGGGCTCATGGGGTGATGACCAATAACAACATTGCAAAAGGAATATTGAAGATGGGATGAATGGGTTCATTCCGGACCTACTTTGAATCTTTGATCGATATTCGAATCTTGCTCACACTGCATAAATTTCATACCTGTTGTTGAAGCCACGGCCCCCGACGGAATGAATCATCGTCTACTGCTTAGATTCAATTCAGTTCATGAGCATCACTCCCATCGACCTGCCCGTCCAAGACGAACACTGACTGCGGAGGGACTTGCGTGCTGCTATCGTCTCAGTTGTTCGGAGAATTTCGTGGCGCGCGACATTTTTCAGAGTTCATGATCTCGAGAGACTCCAAAATTTGTCTCACAGATTCAGGATGGAGGCCAATTTTTCAAAGTTGATTTTTCTACTTTGTACAATGGCGACTACGAACAGCAGTAGTAGCGGCTCTCACGTAAACGCGTCGAGCCAGACGATACGGCGTATTCAAAGGGAAATCCTAGAGATTCAGCGCAACCCCAGCAGCAATTGGACTGCCTCTCCCAGTAATAACCATATTTCGCTAAGGCTTGCCTTTGACCATCGACTCTGCAGCTGCCGATAGCATCTTCGAGTGGCACTATACGTTCAAGGGACCGCCGGGGACTGAGTTCGAAGGTGGACGCTATCATGGCCGAATCGTTTTGCCCAGCAATTACCCGTTCGGACCGCCGGTCATCATGGTAAGCTGCTCGAATGCACCGGTGCATGAGTATCTTCGTTCAGTTATTAACCCCGAATGGTCGTTTTGAAGTTAATAAGAAAATATGTTTGTCGATCTCAAGTTATCATCCCGAGTTGTGGCAGCCGGCCTGGGGCATTCGAACCATTATGGAAGCTCTCAGGAGCTTTATGCCCACTCCTGGTGAATCTCCACTCTCTCACCGATTTTGAATCCTACATCTGCGCTCCATTCAGGTGAAGGAGCCATCGGCGCGTTGGATTGGCCGGCAGAGACTCGTCGACAGTTGGCCGAGGAAAGCCGAGCGTGGACGTGTAAAATGTGCGAGGTAGTAGCGGTTGTCGATGGGTTGGAAGTCGGCGTTTATATATCCTTCCTAGGCGTCCAATGAGGACCTCTTGCCGGGAGGCGACGACGATAAAGAGGATCTTCCCCAACAGGACAGTGATGATACTGAGGATGTGCCCAAACCTATGGCTTTCGTAGCCCTCAATAATGAGGAAGAGTTGCCAAGTGAGAAGCGCTGTTTTTACACTGCAGGATGAGGGTCAAGGTTGTTGCCTATAGGTAGCCCAAAGAAGGCAATCGACGATACACCCGAGACACCCACTCCCACTGGAAAGCAAACAGATTCTCCTGGCGGCAATGCAGATGAACAGAGCAGTGCGGCGGCGTTAGCCAGGCGTCCACCTAGGAAGATGTCGATGCTCATGCAGGTGGGGTCTTGCTCTGTTACAAGTGCCTTTCAGGGCTACTGAGGTATTTGTCGTATTCAGTTGCTGCAATTGCCAAGGAATTCGGAGGAATCTGGGTTGTTCCTGATCAACCTTGGAGTAATGCTGGTCCGCTGCGAGAATTGTCCCTAATGATTCCTCTGCTCAGATATTAGCCGTCATAGGTTTCGCAATAGCCCTCATCGTCGACTGCTTCAGACATCCCCCAGAAGCGTTCATCGGCCCTAGTGGTCAATAGGGAATGCTCCTTGCCCAAGATGGACTCGCAGCCATCAGAGAACTGACCCCAGTTCTAATCCCAGGGAGGGTATTTTATTCATGTACTATAGCATAGACCATTATCAGCTTTTGTGGAAGAGTAGATTCGCTTACTGTGGTGTGTTCTTCTACTCGCAGCCTCTTGTGTTCGACACTTCCACCGTCTATTACCGGTAACTGTCTGGTAGTTGACGATGACGTGTCTTATACGTTTTTATCCACACTAGTGAGATCACCGATAGGAGGATATCCGTGTTGAGTTCAGCAAAGGGGGATGAGGTTCTCTGCAGCATTTTTGGGGTCCTGTCATTGTTAACCGATTTTTCTCCTTCAAATGACTGCGGGTGCTGCCTCCAACAAATCAGGCGTGGCGTCCGAAGCTCAGAGATGCAAGTTGATCCATGCGGAGTATAATGCTTGCATGGCTAAGTGTAATGGTAACCCTTCGAGATGCAGTAAGCAGGAGCAGGCCTTAAGGCAGTGCGGAGAGAGGTGACATACAGTGGCGGTAGAGTGACGTTGGACTAATACTCGTGTTAGTCTCGGCATCAACTATTGCATCCAGGAAGGCATCGATCTCATGCAGTGTGCCAAGTCCCCTACCCAAGATGGCTGTGCTAAGCAGTTCATCAAAATGAGGTATCACTCCCGTCACTGTCATAAACGAGGGGCTCTGTTGAATTCAGAGAGTGCAATCGTCCTAGCGGAGCGGAGCTGACTGTTTCCCAAGCCGGAGGCTATGCTATCGGCGGTACCGATTCTGCCAAATCTCGCTATTTGAGAGGCGCGGAGAAGCTGTTGGGTGGTGTGCCACCTCAGAGGACTGCGGTAATCGCCTCATAATCCTCGGGTATCCTATCGAGAGACTTCGATGTTGTTAGGCACAGCTTTCGGCGGCCTGCGAGGCTTATGCCGAGGCCAATGGTATCGGCGAACAGAAGAATACTCGGTTCTAAGGTTAGGGTATCACTCTCATATCTATGCCAAATATAGGACGGTCCAGGCTGTGGTTGATATTGATATACGTTTCTAGCGTGTTGGACATTGTGGTCATGTGTTATGAGTGATCACTGGGTGGTGGTTGGATTTGATCCCTCATGGGGGAGGCTGAGATGTTCATATTCGGAGGAGTTAAGGTTAGATTTGAATATGCGAGTAAACGAGTGGGCGGAACTGCATTACCCGAGAATCGAACTCGAGCCTATGGATAGGCAGAATTGCGTTACGGACTGTTATGGCTCACTTTTACGGTTACGCTTCAAGCCTCGCAGCCTTGGAGTAAGACGGACGGAATTTGCAAGAAGGACGAGTGGTAAATGCGAAACCAAATGTTATTCTTTCAGCGGTTCGGTTGAATCCGAGCCACCAGAAACGAGTTTAAGAACTATGTGCGCTGTGGTGGAGTGCATTACAGCGAATGTTTCCGTTACAATTTCCAAAAAGGCAGTTCAGCATCAAGCGTAAGCCGTAAGGCATTTTCGTAATCGTAGACTACTTACGTTACGCACACCGTAACGTAAACCGTAAGAAAACGTTACACTGCCCATCTATAGCGCAGATGCCCCCGCGGAAGGGTTGTATTCTACCACTAGGAGAAGACATGGGGAACACTCGAGTCATAAGGTTGAATCCTGGCATGAGGCGTGGAGCCATGCGCCCCTCATGCTCATTATGATTCCTTCACTATGAACTCTTATTAATCGCCGTGAGTTACAGGTCATAACCATGCTAGCTTCACCTTTGAGGTACGCCAATTGTCCCTACTGATTCATTTTGCCAGAGAACCCTCCCATAGACTATTCTACGACCGAACGCTATCCGTATGGCTTTTCCCTTCATCGTCAATCCTTCTAATGTTTCCACGATCTTGCGGCGCAGGGCTCTATTCTCACATCCAAGTTCACTGTCTTAACAACCGTTCTATCACCGACTTGGACGGTACATGCGGATGTGATAAATTCCGATCCTCATTCCAACACTCAGAGTGAATATGACTGCTGTTACACTTTCAACTGGCCTCTCGGGAATTCTACTTTTCTTTCAATTGAATATGCGCAACACAACTCCACGCTTCATTGTAGTGGCATCGAAGGCGCCCTCCGTGAGGATAGGCAAGTAATCCACTTAGGAACATCAATGCTGAATTGCTCATGAATAGAGTCTTAAAGACCGATGTTGACCAGGGATGAGGCTGGCAACTTGTCATGTACAAGAATCACCTCATACCGCGCAGCTATCCGTCACTTTGAGACCGCGTTTGATCTCAGCTACTGGCACTCCGACCATCTGCACCACATCAGTCTCAGTCGCACATGTGTCCATCCTTCTCAATTCACCATCGAAGGGTTTCTGAGAAGCGTCACTACCCATCTACTCGTAACAATACCCACAGTATACATTTCGAAGTTTCCCGGAACGCGATATGAGATGAACTTTTCCTACTATCACTGATCGTTCTACTAGTTAGTATATTATACTACTAATAATCTACTAGTACTATCGAATACTAACTACACTGTGGAAAATCCGTATAGAAGTAGTTAACCTGCTCACGATGGCAATGACAATTCAACACCCCCCTTAAGTCTTCGTGCCAAGTGGGCATGCATAGGTAATACCTCTGAGGCATCAACTGGGGCTGATTTCCTCAGGATCCGTCTCCTTCTCATTAAGATGAAGAATCTCAGCGCCAACACACCGAGGAGCTGAGAGACATCATGCGAGGATAAGCTGAAATTCGTGCGGTAATGGCGAAAGTCTGCAGCCCACGAGAACGAAGCGCTACGGCGTGATTATTCTTATCGGACACGACAAATTCCGTGGAGGCCCCGAGTGAGCCAAGTTGGCTCCATTTGAAGGTCAATTTATGGCCTCACGAATGAAAACATTGTCCACTTATACGATTCGAATATATGTTACCATTGTGAGCGTCACGCATCTCCACTCCTTACCAAATAGACAGCAATCTCTATGAGGAAGCATGAGAGGCCAACTGTATAGATAACTCCACTGTTGTTCACAATATTGGCTGCATCCTCCCATTGGCTAGGGAGCATCCCGCTACAAACGTACCTTAACAGAGCATATCCAATCATCACTTTCGGACTCCGATATTCGACCATATCGACCATCGTCTCACGATTTCAGAAACGCCACAGGTGACAAACATTCGAAAGTTATCCTCTTCTCTCTCACATACAGAAAAAACACCCAAAGGGGGTCCTCGGTGAATCCGTAGTTCTCCACTACGCCAGGACATTCTGATTGGAGCAGCTCGTCCAGATTCGAGAGCTGCTATAACGGTGACCCGACCGACCGTTAACAGTAAAACACCGCATAGTCCATTCCCGACGACCTACTTGGGATGGCTCATTGCATCAATGACTTTGCCAGCTGTATCAAGGGTGCAGGAAGATATCACCCGATTGGCCAGAGAGATGTGCGAGAACATCTGAAGGAGAGTTGGCGGTGCGATAGATAGGGTATCGATTCGGCCTCTACCTGTACTATAGTCACTATTCGGAGGCCAATGATGGTCCATGCTACAGTTCCGTAAGCTAAGACCATCGATGGTGAGGCGAATACCAATCCGTAGTAAGGCAGCAGGGGTAAAAAGGGACTCGATAATGATAGAAAGTTTGACCTGAAAAATGATGTGTGCCCGTGGGATCGAACTGGTGCCCTTTCACTCACAAATCGGTCGAAGGGATCGACAATATAATCGACATTGTGATGAAAGTGAGATTTATCAATGGTGGGAAATATGTGAGGAAGATGAACCCTCTGACACGACGAGCGTAACTCCTCTCTACCATATCGATACCAATCCTGAGAGATAATCATACCAGCAACTCCCAGTTGATTAATAAGGGCTTCTACTACACTTCAACGAACTGCGAGGAGGAATAGCATTCGCTGTCATTCGACTTGAGACTAGGCTTCTCAGGCATTAGAAAAGAAACGATTGAAGACAGGACTATAAACGACTACGGAATCTGCCAAGGGAACTTAGTGTGTTTAGGGACAAACGACGCAAATAGGAGATGATTCAGAAATAAACTGCATCATCCGAGAATCGAACTCGGGTCACAACGATGGCAACGTTGTATTCTACCACTAGACCAATGATGCAACTGATAAATAAGACGATATCACCCCCGTGTCTACTCGAAGTGCCTATTCACTCTCTCTACATAACGTTGCGCAATTCAAGTATGGCCGAACTTCATTCAGAAATAGTGAACAATCTTACCACAACAACCTTATCAGGGATGGAAGGGAAAACAAGTCCTCGGAGAGCTCAAGAATGAACAAACCGGCAGGGGAAGCTTCTCTCGGATGAATGTTAGCGTCGCCCTAATGCCAGGAGGGCTGTTGGGGATTTTCCTCCAAGTAAACTGATAACTATCTACAATAGAAAGTGGAAGAGCAGCAGCATACGGGTATCAGTTTCGTGAATGGTTATTATCATTGATCAAAAGAGCCGTTCTAGAGCTACAATTGATAAGGGAGACGCCGTCATCAGCGGACAACCACACGAGTGTTACCATCTCGAAATCTCAAGGCTTCTTGTCGTTTCTCACACTGCGAGACCGTTACCCAAAAGACCGCTGGGCAACCCTATTAAAAGGTGTCGAAGGAGGGGGACTCCCTTCCCGCGCTTTTAAATCGACATCACTGCAAGAGGTCGATCGTTTCATCGACCTTCATGGAATCTCTCGCTACCGTGCCTTCTGCCACAGCTCTATCAGTTGGGCGCATATGACCCTGAGGCAGCGTATGCTTAGCATACCTTCCTCGCAAAATTCATTATCTTGGCGATTTATAGACCGAAGCTATAATATCCACGAGTTAATCTAAGACCATCCAAGACCGACTCTACCAATCGAAAACAACAAATATCATCTCACCGCAATACTCTCATATTATGCTAGGTCTAATCAATTTTTTGCGAGCGATAAAATTATCTACTGTTGAAACGCTTGAGCATGCTCACATACTGCTAGGTTCGAATCGGACTCCTGAAACCGTTGAAGGGGGAGATGAGAGTGCAAGGTCCTTTATCGTAGAACTACTGATGATGGTTGGAGATACTGAAAATGAACGCCACTCTGTATCACTCACCTCGACTGGGAGACATGCCCCCTCGCATGATGATAAACACAACATATCAGTTGACATAGACCTCGAGAGACCTCATATCACCACCAAACCGGCGACAACAACAACGGCGATCTTAGACTTAACCAACATTGGTACAAAATATGAGGAGGCTATGCATCGACAGCACATGCTCAGCTGTAGTATGAGATAGAGAAGGACTATGTGGTCAATGCATAATCATCACTAACATAGGCCAGCCATTCTAAGTATTTTCAAAAACACCCGAGAACCGTCATCGTCCGAGCTACACTTGAATATTCTCCTCTTTATTCTTCGGACTCGACACAGGTACACCAACAGCAACCTTATCCGTATCATCAGCCTCAGTGCCTCTAGCAACATACCCGCTAGTGATAACCTGAACATTAGTTTCAAATGTGCGACTATCATACCACTCATTCCTCATATTACCGTAGCATTCACGCCTCCCATCGGACCAGTGGTGGAAATCCTGAGGCCATTCCTCAACTTCGAATACCACATTAGAGCCAATGCCAACAACATCTGAAAATTAAACGTTCGAACCTCATACCACTCCTTCCCTAATTACCAGATGCAATACCACCACCGGTATGAAAAACGACAGGTACATCACGAAAGTCAAGCCTTGATTATTCGCCCAGTGTTGGAACGTCGAATAGTCCAAAACCGAATAGAATGAACATGCGTATCTTTAAGATCAGCAACTGCATCCTCGCACACTACTTAACCCCTTACGTTGGATTCGCAACGGCCGGGACCACCCTGAGCCCAGAGACTTCACACTCCTCTATAAACGTCTCGCACCGCTTCACATAGTCCAACACCTGAACAACATTAGAATTAGCCATGAAGCTGCTGCACAAAAGGGACAAAAGCCGCCAACAGTTACCTGCCAAACTGAGAGGATCTGACACACTGCCAACGCACCGTTGAGAACAGCGTAAAGACCCATAAACGAACGACTGTTATTAGCGTAAGAATAATACAGAGCTGTGGGGGAGACAACCGTGATGGCCAACAGAACATAATACCTGAAAAAACGACATACGAAAATCGTAAAATGCTTCGCTCCGCCGCCTTTGCACTTGCTACTCACCATATGTAGACAGGTACCGATACGAACCACACTGCGATGGCGAAGGCGATGCAAAAAATTATCGGTACGAGGGACAGGTAGAATGTGAGCCTTACTCTGAAGGCCAAACGGTCATCTGCAAGATGTATTCCAAGCCTGGCAAGACATATGAGGATGATATCTCCATCGTAACGATGAGAGCTTACACCCTTTTAGGCTTGTATGCAACTCCTTGTACCGTAGGGAAGGATGATGGAGTAGCAGCAGTGACAGGGTTGATCTGGGGACTGTTAGTTGTTTGCATTTATCAGAGTTACTAACTGTCAGAAGAAATAATACCACAAGGCGAGCGCTGTTCAAACAGCTGCCATAACACAACGATACAGGGAGACAGATCACACAATACCGCGTATTCTTGGCTCACGCGTGCTACAACACAGCATAATAATCTCGAAAACCATCACCAACAATGACTGAATGTTGCATGGCTCCTATGCAACCTCCAAGGCAGCTCACTTACCCTCACGTTCTGCCTCGTACCCAATACGCGACAGGTTCATGAACAACGCGTCGATAAGAGATGATCCTCACCCACATGGGGACATCGTCGTGACGCCGCTAACCAGATGTTGCCGGTGACCTCTCAAAGCGAATTCTATCCTCGAACCTTCCTGCTCCCCATCCCCCACAAAGTTGATTGCTCGAAATCCCGCGGACTCGTAGTATCGCCGATAAAATGAATTCAGCATCTTTGGGCATCCAGAGTCAAGCCAATTTATAACGAGAATAATTACTCTCTCAGTAATACTTGCGACTATCTATCGGAAGACCCCAGATCAAATCCCCCATGAGTCACATTGAACAATGCTTAAATTCACTTCACTTGTGTGGATCATTTCCATCAACTAGTTTGCCTTCTATCCACTTACTCACATCCCTGTCCTAAACCCTCCTTTTCCTCGTCGTGTTTCATATCACCAAGTCGGCGGAACCGCATGCAGCTGCACCGACCCTTCCTAGCACCTTACATAATCAACATGTAAAATCTTCGCTGTGCGCACCGAGCAGCGTATCTTCCCTCCAACTCGACATATCTCACAAGATACAAAGGATATGAACCCACCTTAGATTCTTTGACCACTTTGCGGTTCGCCCAATTATTCATCATTATGTTTGGAAAAAAATAAAAGGATGACGTTTTCTTGCTTCGCTTCGCTAGAGAAAGGAAAACGACAAAAATAGTACATTCGGAATATGACGAGCCAGACGGCTGTCAACACGGTCTATAGATCCGCGGTCGCATCTACGTTCTCATAGTGCGCACGCATAAACAACAAAGAAAAACTTGCTCACGACCACCTCCATCACCACAACGACGACGACGAGGAGGAGGAGCGCAGCAAATACTCATCGACCATCAGTAATAACTCTCCACAACTACTGCTTATCATATTTCTACCCAAGACTAGTACTATTTTACAAGCTGAAAAATCATCAGGGTATTTCCTCCGACGTGCCCCACACCCTCACCGACGAGGATGACTACGGCAATCGACTTGAGAAATAAAATCATCACAGAAAGTTGTCACAATAATCCATAATAATCACATCCAATATTAGAGATGTTTAAGGTGAAGCAGCGAGCTATCCCCTTCCACGTGAGGGAATAACTCTTCTGCCAGAATGTCAAATATAATGCGCGGTTCGTCAAAAGTGAGTCTATGATAGTCTTCAGGCGAAAGATCATGATACCTTTCAGCATCCAAACGTACAACACAAGACGTAGTGAATTTGAGGACCTGACCAAAACAATATCTTAGCGGAGCGATGCAAAACTATCATCGCTATTACCTCATATTCTGCTGAGGGGTTCGGAGGGCCCTCTAGTATAACTTGATACCGTAATGGTATGCCAGAAGTACTACTAGACGAGTCCATTGTACCCTCTTCCTCCGATATAAAAGGAACTGGCGGCGACATTAGCATCATCATCGGAGCGCTAGGTGGCAGGCCAGTGAAGCAGCATGGTGATGGGGGCGCGTGAATCCGAACAAACGTATTATTCGGTGCCCTATGATAAATACCGTTCAAGGTGAGCTCCAACACATAGTCAACCTAAAAATTAAGATTCAAATATCGCTTCGCTCCGCTAATATTATTACCATCTCATTTCTGCTTATACAATACTCACGTACGTCCACTTTCACGACACTGCAACCCGATACTTCAATTTTTTCCGTAACTCCGTCTTTAATTGAAATGATCTTAGCATCGACAAAATGCTGCTTCGCTTCGCTAACTATCAACTCATCTTCTTCAACTTCCAACAACGTCAATGATTCCTCGTTGAATCGACTACCCGTATCTTCCGTATCAGCGCACAGCGAAGATTTTCCCACTCCCACTGCAGGCCAATTCTCCTTCAGAGTGGCCGGTATATTAGGCGAAGTCACAACAGCCGAAGTTTCTCCCAAACCCCCGACAACTTCTTCCGAACTTTCACTGAGTGATGGTAGGACTACGGGATTCGATATAGCTTCCGAAACAGACATTTTTGACAATCCGAAATAATAGGGAATTCCTGGAAAGCACATCCGGAAGAATTTAAAATGAACCCAACACTATAATCAATAAGTGATGAAACGCAGAGGCTCTCTAGTATAATGACGAGCTCCGTCACGCGCCACGAAATTCACCCATCACTTTCCACCTTTGTGGGAAATAAAACTTCGCTCCGCCTCCATATCAACCTTATGTAAAAAAGATATTTCTCGCGCGCTACTACAAGATTAGAAAAGATGCTTTTTCTCCACGACTTGTAATTGTCGCCAAACATACAAACCACCGACGACGACTACTATGATACCTGACCGAAAAATTGAGGAAATGCAAGATTTAACGAGATTGCAAGATGCTCCTTACAAAGCATAAAGAGCTTATTCGCCAAACTATGCGAACTGCTGATGGAATCTTCCAAATCATCACTTATCAGCGAACTGACGAAAATGCACAAACATGCAACGCTTCGCTCCGCCTGTAGATATTACCGTCCATCATTACCATCAACCTTGGTTAACTGCTCTCTAACCTTCTCAACACGGTCCTGACAATGACGCACAGTGAAGATTTCATCCAACATACACAACCGATGATACACATAAAATAAAAAATAAAAAATAAAATAAAGTTATTCCCCTTAACAGTCTCAATCTCCCTAGCATGCAATTACAAATTAATACACAAATAAAATCGCAATCCATCCAAGTTGTTCCTCGAATAAATCAAGTTGACGTGAACGTTTGTGCGGTGACCTCCTTCTACCACCATTACTGTGAGAACTATCACGCTTTCAGCCATCCCCTTAAACGAAGTATACATAAACGCGTCACGACCAATTCCATTCAGAGACTCCCCTTGTGTGATACCTTATGATCGCCGGATTCCCGCGTGAGCATCTCCTTTAAACCAACCATCTGATTCTTCAACACAGACAGTCCACCCGAACCTACAACATATCCTCAAAATCTTCCCTGTGCGTTGATAATAATAACAACAATAAAAGATACCTTCCTCAGTAGCTTTGATTTCCTTCCTCAATTGCTTCATTCGTGACTCCAAATCGATAACTTGATGAGTAATTCTACCTGAACGAAAATCGCAAATCCACAAACTAATCGCCACCATCGTTACTACTACTACTACTACTACTACTACTACTACTACTACTACTACTACTACTACTACTACTACTACTACTACTACTACTACTACTCCTACTCCTACTCCTACTCCTACTACTACTCCTACTCCTACTCCTACTCCTACTCCTACTCCTACTCCTACTCCTACTCCTACTCCTACTCCTACTCCTACTCCTACTCCTACTCCTACTCCTACTCCTACTCCTACTCCTACTCCTACTCCTACTCCTACTCCTACTCCTACTCCTACTCCTACTCCTACTACTACTACTACTACTACTACTATTACTACCGAGCTGAGCATGGACCTTAGCCAGTTCTGGCTGGGTTGTCTGTATGTAGTTGAGGAGTATCTCAGTGACCTTCTGGAGAGCCAAAGTCTGTTGAAAGGTATCCTCACCAATGTCCTTCGTCAGTAGCTGACATCAACGAGAACAACTACAGCGCGGATGAGATCACCGAATTTTAAAACGTCGTATATCGATTCATATTGCTGATAACGAGAGTTGATCTTTGAATACCCGATATTGCATACTGTTCTAGTTGCGGCACGTTAGGCGCTATTGTCGCCTTCGCGATCTTATAGTGTACTAAAACTACATATGCCATGCCTCTGAAGTGAATCAAATTTTATATATGTTTCACTTGCTATTGTCTTCTCTCTATAATATCTTTATTGCTACTACTCATCGTAGCCGTTACAATTAGTCCCTATCGGAAAATAATTGTTAACTAACCAGCCTGGGACATCACCATTGATCAGTAACTACGAAAAACTAGAATTTGTTATTTCCATCTACATAACAACCTGCTATTGTTTTCTTAGTAACGTCATACGAGATCCCTTCGCAGGAACTTCTCTTTGAATAGAAAAATGTCACTCAGAGATATACGCTAATGCATAAGCCTTTAATACCAACAGTTCCCTCAGCCTACTTCTTGCCAATCGATCTTCCCACCATCAGAAAGCTCATCAACAACTTCCTGTGATAAGGTCTCTCCTGCTTTATGCATATCCATGTTGTACCTTAGTTCGAATACACATCTGATCCTATCGACATCATCACACATATATTAATCAAGTGCATGCAGAAAAAGTTATGGGGTAGGGAAGACTACTTACACATGCATATCGATGATAGACACCTTCTCAGTGGGGAGAGTTTGTCCACTCCACGACGTAAAGCCAATATAACCAGATGACCTAAAGATGATGATGATGTGGAGGAGGAGTGGTATAATACGCCCGACTTACGGCAGTGATACACCTCTCTTTGTGGTGAGGTCACTCCAATGTCTATTCCCATCACGATAACGGACCATAATGAGATCCGGACGGACACGAATGCCAATCTAGGAGGGATTGTCTCTAATAAAAGATGAATATAATATACTACTCTAACAGGTGCTCCATTGGCATGTAGGTTAACCCTAGCTGAAGAGGCACGATCTGGTATGTCCCGGTCGAAGGATATCGTCTGGTCGTTCCTATTGGTGACTACCGAAACTGAGAAAAAATATTTATTCAGATAGGGACGGTATCAAACACGATTTTCCCGAAATGAATTTACTTTGCGCATTTTCCACGCAAACTTTTCTCTCATTGTGACGTTTATTACCAAGTAAAATGATGATGGAAAATGTTAATACGATGGTAAGCGATGATTGTACTTGCCAACTCGTAAGCAAATTCCAATGTATTTTTTTTTCAATTTAGGGTAAGATAATTACGTCTAACGCTCTTAAAATATAGTATGTAACTTTCGTACACTTTAAAATTGTGTATATAATTCCCATCAGTTGTCGAACTAGAATAGATTTCCATTAATGGAGTTTCACCCGTTTTACGTGATGTAGCGTGATTCTCTGTGAAAAACGCTATATTGGCGATATGCAGAAATCGTATATTTTTCACTAGTGTTTTTCATATGAGTAGTTGATGCCGGAGGTTTACCTGTGTATTCATCTCCTGAGGCGCCTTTAGGAGTAAAAACGATACCAAAGCCATCGAAACGTGACTGAGAAAGACGTTTTACAATGCAGGAAGGAAAACAGAGAATTGAAGATCAGTGTGGAGGGGAAGAACTTGCAAAGTGTGTTGTTTGGAACATGAAAACTGCGAGAAAACTTTGGAAAATTCTCATCGTTTTTTCTGTACACTCCTGCCCAAATTCGTATGAAAACTAGAGAGGAGTCCTCTGAGCTCAGCTGAGGAGAGCGAACATGAATTCCAACACTGTTGAAGGTAAATTGAGAAATATATTTTTTTGACGTTTTTACTCACCTTCTGGCCGAGAAGGGAATAATCAAGTGCGTTGAAGGCTGCTCTCCAATCTTTCTTATTGTCACCTTTTTGTAGTTCGTCACGAATCTTCGAAAACTCAGCAGTATAGTTCATCGTAGTAAACCTAAAGTAGTCGTCCAAACGATGCTGCTAGTAGTTCTCACCATAAAGCGAAACCCGAGTCGCGACTTCCAGATGGACCATCAGTTACCTGACGCGAAATGTACCCCAATCGTACATGATTCGTATCTTGCCATGTCGAACCTAAGATACTTACCGAGAGATCGAATAGGATTTCGAAGTCGGTGGTTTCTATAGGCATGGTGTGCATGAATATACCGTATCTTTGTGCGATACTAGGATTGAGTATAACATGATCATCCGTAGCGACTGTGGCACCGTTCATAAACCAATCACCTAATTTGATATTATATCTATTCCTTATCTATAATCTTACCAAGTGTGTTGGAGTATGTTAATGGGCTGACAAAGCTGTGCCTCATGAGTTCCATCCGTCTACCCCAGTCTAAAAGTTGAAATTGAGGTGGTCAATGAGTTTACATCTCTTACGGTGTCGTCGGCTTCGGTAGTATGGTGCAGCATCATCCTCAGCAACGACACAAAACACCAGCAACCACAAGACGATGAAAAATAGTGCTGATCGACGAATCATTGAATATCCAAAGGCCCACTATGGTAAGATGCAAAGTAGGCCCGCGCGTTTCCGCGTCTCTCAACTCCAACCCTCCATCTTGCCACCAAAAATCTCATCGAAATAATTGTAAGTCTCGCTCGCCATTCTAATCGATTGGTCATTAGCGAGGTGCCCGAGCCGTCCAAAGGCCTCTTCACCGGTCCGGGCGTTCGATAAGACGTATCGATGTTTAGAAATATATTGGCATAGGCAGTTCCGTCAAGTGTACAGTAGTAGTGGAGGTAGTATACGTGACGATTCTACGAAGGAGTGGTATGATTATAAGGTTGGTAGAGTATGCTGTGATAGGTAGTTATAGGCTCTTCCTGTTGTTGTTGTTACCATGGGAAAAGTTCACGGATCGTTAGCTCGTGCCGGTAAGGTTAAGAATCAGACTCCTAAGGTCCCCAAGCAGGAGAAGAAGAAGGCTATCACTGGTATTGTTATTACTGCGGCTCATACCACTCCTTTCCCTCATCGTCATTCTCTCAGGTCGTGCTCGTAAGCGCATGCAGTACAACCGTCGTTTCTCGGCTAAGGTGACCGGTGGTCCCAAGAGAGGCCCTAACTCGAACCAGAAGTAAACGAGTTGATTTACGAACTGTATCATCATCGTAATAGCTCGACTGCCTACTACTTCTAGTCAGTAGCTTGTTGGGTTGTTAAATCGTAAAGTGACGGTGGAGTGGTATCAGTTAATATTATTATCTTCCGCTGTCTCGTAGTACCAGAAAGTACTGCGGCGGGGTGGTAGGGGGTTCAGGGGATAATCAGGATGGAGTAGAGCAACAAGACGAGTTTGATCATCACATATTGTTGTCATCATCCTACGATGAGGAAGAGTTACGGTATCCATTACGGATGAGTGAAGGTGGAGGAGGATGGAGGTAGGCCTAGTGGTAGTAGTACTAGAAGGTCTGAGTCTAATAGGCATCTGTACAATGTGGAGTAGTGCCTCAACTTGAATTAGCCTCATCACGATAAAAAGGTTGATATGACTTCTCAACGTTTACGAAGCGTTTTACAGTCTACAAGCAAGTTATTGAACTTGGTAAAACTATCTCGACGACATTGGTTTGGTTCACATTGTGAATAGTTTTTTTCTGAAACGACTTAGTCGGTATAGAGACCACCCATCGAAATGCCTGCCTTGTATAGTATTAGGGGTAATAGCACAGCTTTGGGTAGTGCCGTGTAATACGACTCCATAATCGTGTTGTATTATTACTACTCCTAATGGCATTTGTATGGTGAATAGCGAGCAGTAGTAGCAATGTGGTGGATCTTTTCTGGTCGTCCCTCCCCTTCACTTTGGCATTCGTATGTTTATTTCAGCCGTATGGAGTCGGTGGACTCTTGTAATGGTGAAGTTGATGATACATCTCCTAATCGGATTGCCCAAAATGCTGATGAATATTTTGCGGGACGGGGAAGGGGGAAGAGGCGAAGTCGAAGTGGTAGTGGAGTGATGCTCTCTTCCTGTCCAGCAGAAGTCTTGACGGCGGTGGCGGGTGCTCAAATGGCGCCGCCACCGGGGATCGAACCTGCGTCTACTCCTCCCAAGGTCAGCATCCTACCATCAGAGACTGAGGTACGTCTTGATCTGCTTTGATTATTCTCAAGATTATTTTTAGAGTGTCCACAGCGAGCCACCAGTAGTGGCAGGATCCGTACCTAATCCGTATCATATCATGATGGAGGGTAAGATTTCACCCACCTTTGCTTGCCCTTCGGGACTCTCCTCCTTACAGCTGAGCCCTCGGCCCCCGCGATCCCCTTCGTCGCCTTCAAACTCATCGGTGAGGGTGCTTCAGCTGAGAGCTCACCAAATCAGGTAATACGCCCGAGTTGAAGTTGATTTACATTTCCATCGCCTTGTATTCAGCCTCAGCCGTCCTCACTGGACTATCTGGCACCACTAGAGGCGACCATAATGCATCGACAGGCTGCAATGGGGAGGAGAGGTAAGGTCTAGAGGTAGGTAATAGTAGTAGTATTCTATTACAGGTGGTTTGAGGCATGGTCGGTCGATATTGGAAAGGGTCAATTTGGTGGAGGAGAGTGACAATAGTGATGCTGAGGACGAAGGTATGAGGGAATCATCTTGCTGTACTCTTTATGCTACATGGGTGTACGTCCGGCTTGCTTTGGAATTGGTTTGGAAGAGTCTTGTAGAATGCTTTATGAAATTGATAAGTGTTTCTACTCGTTTTTAATACAATCCTAGCAGGCTGAAGAGGGAGATCGTCGGCGATGTAGCATTTATTAGGAAATGGTGTGGTTGTTTGTTAGTTCGTCCATTGTTTTGACGTGTCAGTTAACGTCCCACTTGAAGCAAAGCAGGGCGGGGTAGTGGCTGAGTTAGCAGGAGGAGGAGGAGGCTCGCAGGTAATCCGACTTGCTGTACGATATTCCGAGATTGTGGTTCAAGGGACTTCGTGGTTGTGGCAGTCAGTAGTGATTATTGAATCTTGCGCTCTTGTGTCCCCTTTGTTAGTAGTAGTGGTTTAGGCTAGTTGTTGTGTGCTCAGCCCTCGGGGATCGATGCGTTAGCGAGGCTTCAGATGAGCATGATGAATCAGCATAGGAAGAAGCAGGAGAGGGGTAGTGACTTAGATGGAAAAATGTTGGGTGTCGGGATCGAACCGGGGTTCTCTGTGTGTAGGTCGGGTCTATTCCCATCGCACCATCTTGGAGCGGCTTAATTTACTTGAAGAGAGCGATGATGATGATGATGACGGCGGGGGTATCGTGTCCGGTACTGGGACGAGTAGTAGTCCATCTCAAGACGTATCGAGTTCCTCCCCTGAGGATTCGTCTAGTGGCGGCGAACAGCAGCAGCAGCAGGTGGTCATCGAGGAAGCTGATGGGGTAGTATGGGGAAGGGTGGGGTGGCTTCAGGAGGGTGTTTGTCGGAGGTCTTGGCAGTTACTTAGGTAAGGCCAGCAGTTGTTATCACTGACGGTCACTAAGAATCCGAGTGATGATGTAAACCTTAAATTGACCAACGACCTTTCTATCACCACAACTGTACGAACGTTGCCTTGTTAGGTTATGGCTCGATCCTCCTCGTCGATTGGTACGGATTATGACACTCCAAGAGGCGATAGGAAAATGGTAGGGAATAGAAGGAAGAGGCGGAGGGCCGATCGAGGTAACTGTGGATACTTGTGTATCGATTGAGATGATGATGATGATGGTGATAGATTCATTACCTCGGATTCGACTACGGCCTCCTTTAGACCTACAAGAAACAGCTCACGAGGTACGGGGGTCTTTGGTAATGTGCGATTTGACGGTTTTTGTATCAGATTTTTCCGCGTATCTTCCTCGGGGGTCACCTTGTGGCTCGTAATAGAGAGCTGCTGCATAAATATAACATAGCAAGTGTTGTTTGTTGCTGTACTATAACTGAGTATCCTGATGATGCCTTCTTCACATCGGATGGAATAGATTATTATCGGTGAGTAAAGGTTAGGGGATCGCAGTATGCCTCATCGGAGGTGAGAGTGTTATCCGTGCTTAGCTCAATTAGGAGGTATCTTGGCTAGTCATCAGCTGTCCCGGGTTCGATTCTAGGCACGGGTTTTTTAATGGTTTTTTACTAACGGCACAAGCGAGTTCAATAGTATTGTTTTTTGTCATCATGTTAGAGTCGATGTAGAAGATATGTCCTGTGAACCCATCGATTGGTTTTGGGATGAGGCACACGAGCATATGGATAAGACATTACGGCCTTATATGGAGCGCGGTAATAGGGCGGCCTCTAGTGAACCTGTTTTGTATCTTGCAATGAGTGACCTTAGATACGTCACCATCCTGCTCTTCCACCTCTTCCTCAAAGCCTTCCCCTGGAGGTGTTTTAGTGCATTGTCGAAGTGGAGTGTCTCGTTCGGCCTCCACACTGCTTTCCTATCTTATTAAACGACGGGGCTTGTCCTTGTATCACGCCCTCACACACGTGAGGCATTGTCGCAATATCCGACCGAATTGTGGATTCTTTGAGAAGTTACAGGAACTCGAAAAGAATCTGCGGCCTGACGGAAAGAGTACAGTTGATAGGAGGATGTACTTTTCGTGGTATAACAATTGTCGGGACGTAGCGAGAGACGAGGGAGAGACGCTAGAAGAGCCTAGTGATGATGATGATACTATAGACAATATTTACTCCAGAGACATAGCTTGGGACGCAGAGCCTCCGATGGTCGACATGTATGCAGGGGAAGAGGGATGGGATTATTAACGAACGATCTTTAGTTCCTTTTATCATTCTGTATATTTTCAATTCTAGTCGCTTCGTAACCATTAGTGTGTAGTCTCGAGTATTATCATTAGTAGCAGACTCAAGTTTGGTGAAGAGGAGGAAGAGGGGGAGGTCGTCTTTGCCATGTAAGTTCTCATAATGGTATCGGTCGGAGGCCAATCAATTCTTGCCCGTGCGGCGGCGTCATCGTCTATCTTTGGTGGGCTGAGTAGGAGGTCGGCTTACATTGGGCTGGTCTCGGGGCGAGCGCTATTCTCATCGGAAAGGTGAGTGGTGATGGAATCTTTGGTTGTGGTTGGCAGGAAACGGAGGAGGTGTGATGAATTTCAGACCGGATCCGATGGAATTAGCAGGACGAACTGCAGCTGCAATCAAAGAATACCTGCAGATGAGGCGAGAGGAGGTAATGATGGACAGTAGCGCTCGCCCGAGTGATCGATTACGTGAGTTGGCGCACATTTCCGATGGAAATAGGCTTAGGTTGCTGTGGAACAACAGACGGAAAAAGGAGGGGAGGCGGCAAAAAGTGTCGCAGAGGAAGCTCTGAGGAAACTGGACGAAAACATCAACACGTTCAACACGAAAACACCGGAGGAGTTGGTACGCCTCGTGAAGATATTTCTCGTAGGACCTTCGTCCCTTTCAGTTGATGATCAGTTTTGAGTCTCTTGGCTTCGATGGCCTAGAGGAGGTGGAATGCCTCTTGCAGATTGAGGAGACCTTCGATGTTAAGTTGCCCGATGAGGCCTTCAATACGCTGAAGAATGGACAGCAGGTGGGGAGGGGTGGATGACTTGTGGAGGCGCTGATGGGAATGTTGATAGGCGATGGAGGCGGTAATTCAACAGTTGAAGGAAAAAGAAAAGGAAGAGTGATAAGAGCTGCGAATATTTTGTTTCAGTGGACTTTAGTGTTGAGGTGTTGAGTTAATTTGGTGGAGTGGTTAGGGTTGTGAATTTCGCATCGTGACGATCCAGGTTCCATCCCCGGTAGTTCTCTTAAGCCTCTTGTTTTATGTCAACCTATTCTGCCCGGCCCGCTACAGCCTCTCCTTCTCTACGCTACTCTGGCCTCGAGGAGGCGACTCAGCTGACGAGGATCTCGCAGGTAATAATGATAGTAACGTTACCGAGTACAGTGTCTACACATGGTCAACTGAGGGAAACTATGAGGGTATATTGGAGCTCCACGTTGGCTTTCATCGCATTTTCTCTACATCGTTGTATTATGTGATGAAGGACTTCCTGAACTCTAGCTGAGGGCACCAAACTCACATTCCAACTCTTAGGTTCGGACCTCTCCTAAATGGTCGATTGCCGGTCGGACCGACAGTGACCTCAGAGGGAACATGGTACCCGGCCCTGGTAGGCTCCTCCTCCTCCTCCTGCTGCTGGTAGTTGATCTAAGAGATTGTTGAGCAGGTCAATATAGATCTACGCGATCAACTGATGTGGGGAGAGGAGTATCGTGTCGAATTGGCACTGGACGTCGGGATGGGGTAAAGGGCCTTGGTTTGGTGGCATTGCTTCTTAGTGTAGCATTCAGGGCAAATGGGGAGCCAATAATGGTCCCGGCCCAGGAGCTTACAGCCCTATGGAAGTCCGCGGATCGGTCCGGATCGGCTTTGGCAGTGGAAGGTTGGTCCTGGTCTAATAATAGGTGGCTATTACTGATGCTCTTCAGGATGGGGGCAGGGACGCGCAAGATCCCCGAGCCGGGACCAGGACATTACAACACGGCGGGGACCTTAGGGAAGTCTGGGAAGATGTTCAGCATGAAGTCGAGACATAACCTGGACTGTAATACTGAGGATTAATTTATGTGTCGGTTTGGTATAGCGGTTAGTGTGTCGAATTGCTATTGAGGAAACCCTGGATCTATTCTTTGTCACGGTATTTCTCTCAGCCTCCTATTCGGCCTTCATGCCTGGCCCGGGACACTATAGAATGGGGAGTGCTTTGACTACCAACAACAAGGGACCGGAATGGTCCTTCAGTAGATCCTGTCGGAAGCCGCGTCGGTGAGGTTCCCCATCGGTTAATCTGGGCTCTACCTTCTCCTTGTAGGGGTACAAACGATTCCAGTCCTGGTCCTGGAGCCTACTCACAACGAGATACTATTGGTCAAAATGGACGGCAGTAGGTCCCAGGTTCGATCCCTGGTCACTGCAGTTTTCACATCTTTTTAGATGCGGTTTCGGACGTCCCCGGCCACAGACAGCTTCTCAGCCTCCTATAAGTGGGGACTACACTGCCTGCCATTACTCGATCTTGTGTCCAGGTCCAATCGGCTTTGGCGGCTTCCAATACACCACTTTTGGGTATTGATCCTCCTCCTCTCCTTCACATGTAGTTGTCTGCCGTGTTAAGGCGTTCATGTCCTGTCGATGCTGTTGAGTTATACAGTACTCCAATCCATTTAGATTGTTTGCCTATTTTCTTGTCCAAAGGGGTGGTGATGGAGGAGCTTGGTGTCACCACTGAGGGCGCATTAACGGCTCTCAGAACACTGGAGGCGGCATGTACGGAAGCTGTGGACCACGGAGGCCATTGGGTAGGCTCATGAGAGGAAGCGTATTGTACGGCGTGGATCTTAGTTGTGCCGGACTCGTTTTGAAGCCTCGACACTGGAGACGGCCCTGTCAGTATTCCTTCGTCTGTTATTGGTCGACTTGGAGCCGTCCTCTCAACTGGAGGTGGGCCTAGTCGGCATCAACTGTGGCGTGATAGGCTCCTTGCAGGAGTGTTCTTGCTTGGTCAGAGGCCCTTCCGTCGAGTCAATGAACTCATTGACGGCCACTTGATGGTCACTTTATGTCCGGACTGTGTGGAAGCCTACGTTCGGGCGGCCTCAGAGATGACCAAGTAGTGGTGTGAGGGGAATGTCGGGAAGAAGTGGAGGAAATGTGGTAGGGTAGGTTCCTCCAGGATAACTTCGAGCAGGATACAGTAGAGGAAGCCCTCCACTCGGTGTATTACCCTTACCACTATACGAGGCTACGCCGTTCGCTCTCGCCCAGCAGCTCTCCCGTCAGTCGAGCCATCGCCCTACTGCAATACTGGGGAGGCATACCATCCATCCTTCACATCAGGGAGGTAGAGGGTCAGCCGGCGCCCAGCGAGTTTCTCGAGTCCCTCCACTTCTCTTCTCGAGCTGTCCACAGGAAACTTATAGAAAACTACGAACACGATGACTGGGTGGTAGAGACGGTCTGTGCCTCCCTTGGTCGCATACGTGTGAACACTCCCGACATGTGGATATCACCTGTGGACAGCCCATGGGTCCATTGGGAAGGGCCACTCCTAGCTAAGGTGGACCAGTCTTCCCGGGCCCGGAAGGTTTCAACGGCACTATTGGAGGCCTCGGTGGCCGCAACTTGTTCTTCCTCCTCCTCCTCGACTGAGTGGTGGTTCCCTCGGGACCTGTGGATGGCCATGGCATGCAGAGGAGAGCCCTCCGTCTTGGTGCTCACTGCAGCAGCGGCTACCTCCGCCCACAGTACTGCTCTATTGGAGGAGGGGGCTAAGATGGCCTTAGAGAGGTTGGAGGCTGATGATTTCACGGCCCTTAAAGACACCTGCTTTTCGTTGGCTACTATACCTAGTATGACTGAGGTGGTGGACAGGAGGCTGAGGTCTGGTAAAGTCACCGACAAGTTGGCTGGACTCAAGGAGGTAGTAGTACTAGCAATATAGGTCCTTCCTCATAGGGTGAAAGCTTTCTTCACGGGGACACTTCAAGGAGATAGTACGAACATCTTCCTATACGGTGCATTGTAGGTATTATCATCGGACTCTCGGGCTGTCGAAGGCCTAGCATTGTGGTGTCAACAGCAGCTATTGGCAGTCGGTGTGGATAGTGTACTACGAAGGCCGCCCTCCCCTCTACACAGAGGACTACCATACAGGTCTCGGACTATGCTTGGGAGCTCCTAGCTACATGTGCTGTGCCGGCCACTCTGCAGTTCGTGGCCTCCATCCCTGTCCTCAAGGTCGCCATCACCTTGTAGTCCATACCACTCCTTCCCCACATCAGGTATTCCTTCGCTCGATCGGATCCCTGGCCGTGGAGGTGCTGGAGCGTCGTGATGGAGGCGGTCCATCATCCTCCTCCTCTTCTTCTTCTTCCAGTCCTCTCAACTTTGTAGAGGCTCTCGTCAATACTGTAGGTGCCAACTGGTTGTTGGCGGCATGCGAATGCTAGTACCGTCCCTCAGCTCACTGGGTGCCCAAAGGCATCCCTGTCGTATAACCTCTTCGATGTTGCCGCCCTCCACACGGCCCTCTCAGACTGGGTCTTCGAGAATGTCCCGACCTCAACACCCGAAGGACAAGTGAGTCGTTGATGATAATTTCGTGGCGCGTGACGGTGGCTTTTAGTCGGCTGGGTCAACAGCAATGACCACGGCCTTGGCCAGCCTAGAGAAGCGGATCCACGCCGATCGGCCGCTGCCGGTTTCCGCAAAGACCAAATCACCGCTGTCTTCTGCCCTACCTCCTCGAGGAGCCCATCCGAGCGAGGGGGACCTGAATGCATCCTTACGTGAGTGATGATGGCTGCTGAACTCCGTACATCGAGGATGCTGTTACTATTCAGCATCATTACCATCATCACCTGATGACTGGGATACGTACACGCCGAGCCGGTCGATCGGGGTCTTATCGGTGTCGTCGAGTAGCAGTAGCGACGAAGAGTCACCACCTCCTGTCACCGAGCCGGTGGTACCGGTAGGTGTGGTCCGGGTCGAGGAGGAGGAGAAGAAGGAGGAGGCCAAGCCGCGGTCTAATGGTGATGCCTTGAAGGCTGCCGCTGGAGCTCTCGATAGGTTGCGGCCAGCTGCAACGTCGTCATACCGCTCCTTCACCAACAATACAGTAGGAGGTACTGAAAAAGCGTCTGTACAGTCCAAACTGGACCGCTTCCTCAAGCCAAAGGGAGCCGCTACTGCCTCGGCGTGGCATTCGACCTCTCGGACCTCCAAAGTGGAGAAAGTCTTCGCTAATATGTGGGACCAAGTTGCGGCTAAAAAGTGTAGTCCAGCTCACACTGGAGGAGGAGGAGGAGGAGGGGTTCAATCAAAGCACAAGCGGGCTGCTGCTCCCTCTGCCTTACCGCCGCCTCCAAAGCCCCACCCAGTGGCTAGATTGGCGCCCAGCCCGAAGAGGGCCACCAGCGGGTTTGCTATACCGACGGGTAGTGCGGCGGTGGCCAAGGCTGAGGCGGCTGGTAAGCCACCACCGATGTTCGAGAGTCGGCGTGGATCGGGTAAGCCGAGGAGGATGAAGATGGAGAGGACCAAGATAAAGGACCTGAGCCATGGTCTGGGGAGAATAGATCATCCAAGCACCAATAGCAAGGCCATCGGGTGGTGTGCATGCGTGCAGGGTTGGTCATTGACCGCTTGTGTATCGTTAGGGTCGAGCGGGAGCATGCAGTTGACGACTTGCATACGATATTGTTGTGTCGGGACCCGTTCTCGAACCAGGACACGTCCCACATGCTGGAGGGTATGGGGATGCTGAGGGGCGATCGAGGAAGGGTGACGACCTTTACGTCAGCTGATGAGTGCGAGGATAGAACCGGGATTCCTTTGGATATGAGAACGTGTTGTTATCCAGTTACGTTAAAGAGTTCCGTCCAGCTCTGCTGTACGAGTCGGCGGAAGGTCTTCGACGGTCCTTGTCGAGTACTGAGGGTAGCAGCCTCTATTGGGGAATACCCGCAGTGAAGATAAGTCGATCGAGTCGGAAGGGGAAGTGGGCGACGTAGGTCATCATCGACTTCAGCAACTCGTCCCTATGGGGTCTCCTCAGCCTCACCGTAAAATCCCAATGTGATGAAGACAACGATAACGATCGCAATGTGGGTCCAGAGCGGCGACGTGTGGAGGCCCTCAGCCAGGGGGACCTGGTCAGTTGTCGAGCATGGTGGCTGCTGCCATGGACGTAGCTCAGGTCCTGCTCATCCGTCCATCGGAAGATGGATCGTCGTCCCTGTACGACAAGCTGCTATCAGGAGCCCCGTTGGTCAGCGTGAGGGACCTCGCAGTATCTCCGCTCGCCTTCGGAGTGGTCTTCAAGGAAGCTGTTCAACAGCCTGGGGAGGAGGAAATGGGTAAATTCCGCTGTGCAAGGATCAAGATACCATTCCAATCCGAAGAGGTGTGGATGACAGGGCGTGCGCTCTTGTGTAGAACAACTGTGAATTAGCTAAATCGTGGTCAGGCACCTTATGGTCTATCACCTCAATCGCCATGGTCCGTGGGTTCCTTCTGCCAAGCTGTAGTACTGGGCAGCACCATCACCTCCGAACGGGAATGCGAGGCTCTGGATTGGGTTCTTTCCAACAATACCTTGTCCCCACTACGAGACCTACTCATCACTCCCTCGGTCCCCGTCCTCAGACGTACTAACACTAGCAGTATCACCGATGATACTGTCCAGGGGGATCTCAACCAGGCCCAGCTGAGGGCAGTTACCAGTGCTGCTGATGTATCCTCACCCATCACGTTGGTTCAAGGGCCACCAGGGACGGGCAAGACTAAGACGATTGTGGCCATGGTGAAGGCCTTACTGAAGACAACCAACACATTGGTCATCTGCGCTCCATCCAATGCTGCTGTTGACGAGTTAGCATCGAGGATAATGGCCTCGTGGCCGCCGTCCAAGAGCCTGTCAGATGCCCATCAGGTCCTCAGAGTGGGCTCATGTAGGCGTATTACGCGAGAGGAGGTGAAGACGATATCATTGGAGGAGTTGGCCAAGACTGGTGGTCGGGAGAAGGTGTACGAGCTGAGAGGTTTCCACAAGGAGAAGAGGGAGGAAATTCTGAAGGAGATACGAAAGCTGGAGGAGGGTATCAAGGAGTTAACCGGCGATAACGATTCTGAGGCGAAGGCTGATCGTGGCCGGCTGGTGGCCAGGAAGAAGGAGTTGAAGGAGGAGTTGGACAAGCTGAAGCAACGCTCATCGAGGGCGCTGTCACGGTCGAGGGATGAAGCTTGCAAACATCTGTTGGGGCGGGCCAGGGTGGTCTTGGGCACACTGAGCTCTTTCGGCAGCAGTACGATCACCAGTAATTTCGTGGCGCGTGACGCTACTTGTATCATCGATGAGGCTTGCCAGGCCATCGAACCTTCTGCCTTGATACCTTTGAAGCTTCGTGGAGTGAAGCGGCTCGTGTTGGTTGGTGACCCCCAGCAGTTGCCGGCCACTGTAGTGTCTATGGAGGCCAAAGCCTTGCGGTATGAGCGGTCCTTATTCGAACGTCTGATCGGTGCTGGGTGGAAAGCCCACCTTCTGGACGAGCAGTATCGTATGCTGCCCGAGATAGCCAACTTTGCATCTAAGGAGTTCTACGACGGTCGTCTGAAGACTGCAGAGAGCTGCCGTTTCCCATCCTCGTTGGGACAACCGTTGAGACCGTTGTTGTTCCTGGACTCCCGACTGGGATCGGAACAGCGAGGTGGAACGTCATTGGTGAACACTGAAGAGGCGATTATTGTGGGGAAGATGGTCGAAGCCGTGGCTAACAGGAAGCTTTCGGTTGGTGTTGTGACTCCTTATCGTCAACAAGCGTTATTGATACGCAGAACGGTGTCCATGAGCGGAGCGGAGGTAGACACGGTTGATGCATACCAAGGCCAGGAGAAGGACATCATCATTATGTCCTGTGTAAGGAGTAACCGAGATGGTGGTATCGGCTTTGTTGCAGACTACAGACGATTGAATGTGTCGTTGACTCGAGCTAAATACGCCTTGTGGATCGTTGGCAATGCGGAGAGTCTTGGCCGATCGTCGAAGGTGTGGGCAGATCTCATACACTATTGTCAAGAGCATGAATCTTTGGTTGATGCTAGCAGGATACAAAAGAGGTCCCATTATGCAGAGGGAGGAGAGCCTACTCTGGATAGTCTACTATTACAGCAGGAACAGAATAAGCCGGCAGAAGTAACCCCACTGTCCCCACAGCTTGTCGTTGGCAATAAAAGGATGCGCTGTTACCTTGGATGATACTATAGTCGTTGGCTCCATTCTTTACGTTTCAATTACACTCTGTCATGTTCCGTTATTAGTGATGTTTTCATGTTTTTGTGACTGATGTTCACCGTTCACTCATCGTTGACCCCAGCCTAACAGGTAAGGGATCGCTATTCTGATTCATACGGCGTGGAACCGATTGTCACAAAATCGCCACGGGTCTTCCCTATACAGTTCATACAACGACCATTAGACAAGTCTGGATCAGACAGAGGCTACAGTAAGAGATCCATCCACACATTCCCTTTCCCATTAATGCTAGTGACGCAATCCAAACCCATTGACCGATTTATACCTACCGTGACGCAGTCCAAGGGAATCGGCAAAACTGGAAATATTTCCTAGGACCAATGCATAACCATATGACTGCTATAGATACGGATAACCTTCATACCCACCATATGAAGTCCCTTTTCAACTGACAGTGATCTCGCAGAATCAACTCTCCCCCCGAATACAGGGCTCCGACCATAGGATTCCGTAAACCTTGGACAATTCGCGCGCTGAGGAAGAGGCAACCAGTGTGTATGGCACACCCGGCATCATGCCAGCATAGTATCGACCCGCGCAACATGTTCATGTTTGAACGCGCGAAGCGCGGAATTGTTAAGGAACGTTCCTGACTGATTACAACCTTGTAAGCGTCGGCGAACTAGAGGTCCGCGGTTCCCGTTGTAAAGGAACTTTCTCTAAAGTACTATCGCCGGGCCAACTTGCTTGCGCTACCGTTTGGCTCACCAGTTCCCGCAGGATCATTAAGGTAAGTCTCGTTCGCCAGCGATTTCTTATATTTGTTCATCTGCGTCACTTTGCCCCCGGCACTACGCTAACTGATGGGCTTCTTGATCTCCTTGACTCTTTCTTCTGGTAAGTTAACACAAGCAAAAGTGAAGCGTAGATAAGTCGTCTTCACATTGGAATGGGAAAAGATGAGACTGAGCTATATTTAGTTGATATAGCTTAGCCCAAGTCGACATAGCCATCGGCTACTTGAGCGAGCGCGCTTGTTATTACGCCATATCACACTCCTCCCCTTACCTTAGGCTCGCCTCTGAGGGAAGACCATACAACAGTGTTGTAACAACACTGCGCGAGAAAATCCTGACTTCGATGCCTCCTGGCTGCCATCCAGCAGACCTTACCTCTGTTATGCGGCGAAACATACCAAACCGTTATACTTACGACATGCTCGTCCGAGTGATGAATGGGCACGGCTTTGAGTACGGTAACGACCGAGAGTATCATAGCGTCTACCTACCTTGGGACTACTACCAAAAGTGCCACCGTGGGCGTGCTTTCATCAACCTCGCTTCCAGAGTGGTCGCGGACAGATTTATGGCTATTTTCAATGGTTGCCAGTTCTGATAGTTGAGCTCTGACGATATGCCTGGCGACGATAATCATCATCATAATAATCAGCCTGAAGGGTTCATCATTGACGGCCGTTTCAGAGCCTAGCTACTGCAGTACGGATGTCACTGATTGTGCCGATACTGCCAGTGGAGGTCAAGTCCCTGATCCTTCCCATATGGTCCATGGCTTAGTCTAAGTATGTCAATCCTCTTCCAGAGAACACGGTACTTGTAGGCGGTCTTACGCCTTCTATCAATACGGCCGATTTGTAGGCCCTCATGTGGAGGCAGTTTCGTCCGGTCATTGATGGTGAGGTTAAGAGATATCATAGTACTGACAGAAGCGGATGTTTTGGTTTCTGCAACTTTGTGTCCTCCTCCTCCTCCTCCTCAACTGTAGCTGCGGTGAAGGCAATCAACTTATCTCTTCAGGGTACGGCGAGTGGTCTCTCGAGGCATTTTGGTCTGAATGCCCGAGGCAGACACTACGAACAGTTCCCTCGTGGATCGTATAGTCCTGTTGATGATAATAATGGTCTACTACACGACCACACCTTGACTAACGGCAGTACTGATGATCCTTTTGACCACTCTACTCGTTGTTCAAGCCTTGAATGCATGACTGCTATTACCACCGCACCTGATTGTGTTCAACAGTACATTATGATATCAACATCATCTGAAAATATAACTTTCTCATTTATAATCATCTACCTGTTGTGTATCCCGAATACTATAGCCAGTACCGTGACGGTACTACCGTCCTCCCTATCTAGAGGTTTTTGAGCCAATACGGATTACGTCTGTAGCTGTCGACGTTATTGGAAGTAGCTTTTGTCACATTATTATTGTGACATATTATATCAGTATGTATCTTAGTCATAATCGAGCAATGCTCATTTATTCTCTACCCGACTTCGCATTCAAATTACGTATTCCATGATGGGATACCCATTAGTTAGTCTAGTATCATTGAATGTTTGTGAGGATCGATTTTATGTGTTTACCAGTGAGGACTGTGCTGCACTGCAGCCTTATGATTACCGTCGAAGACACAACCGTTATGAAAAGTGACTTGTCAGGAAAGATATGCAGAATACTCGAGATTATCAATAGACTAATTCTCACGTTGAAGGGGTTTGTTATGTTTTAACGTTACAACAAGACAAGTCAGTTGATATAGTGGAGACCTGGTAAACTGCCGTGAATGTTTAGGCCGCCTCCTCAGTGGCGGATTTGGGCAACTCCACAATCTTCCCTATAGCGATAGTTTTACCTGAGTAACATCTCATGAACAACAGAGCAGCAGTGTATCGGACCCACCCTCATCTCTCAAAGTGAATCGTCCAAGTTGGGGAGTTCTCTTGAAGGTATCCACACACAGTTTGTTGGTAGTCTCAATGACGCCTAACAGACGTATCATAAATTGCTTGTACTCGTACAAAGACTTACACAGCAACATCTGACCGGTCTTGGCAAACCTTGGCCTCTTCTGTTTGGTCTTCTTTTGCTTATCAACACACTAAGATGACGAGATGATCATGTTTGCTCGTACTACTACTAGTATGATGATGATCACCTCTAATAGTTTGGTAATAGTGCACTCTTCGATGGCAGTGTGGACGTGTAGTACAGCAGTGTAGCCAATAGTGATGATGGGCCTATACAATAGTAGAGGTAATTGATATTATGATGGTAGTCTTACTTGTGTTCGAGGAGGTCTGTGATGACTAGTTGTGCTCGGAACTTCTGTACTACTGGGCAAGGATGATCAATGGCAGAGAGGACGAATCCTAAGGAGGGTATATGATTAGCGACATTAGATCTACATCATGATGATACCCTTCTGGACTTGGTCTTCAGCAACATTCTTCAACTTGAGCTTGATATCCTCACCTGATGTGTTGTATGACATTAGTAGTTATTATCATTATAAGTAGTAGTTATTACCAGGATTAGCATATTTATATTCATCGTCCTCAATGTAAACAGACTGTATCTCAGTGATAGTCTTATTAGGTAGTAACATGCACTGTTGACCTATACCAACCATCACTTCCCAACACCTCTCCCTCTTCTTTACCTGGTTTTGCCTTGCCCTGTTCGATCTTACCCATAGCGATAGTGCCCATATCCCTATAACCGTCCATAATAGGTATCCGTAGGGGCGCCTCGGGGTCCCTGAAAGGAAGCCCATACCACACCATCATGACATTAGGGACTACCTACCTGTACGGTGGGTTAGCGTTGTCCAAGACCTGGAATAATGTAGGACCGTGGTACCAGTCAGAGCCGGGGGACTTGGCAGCTTCCTTTAAGTTATCGCCTACCATTCATGACCATAATGTGATGATAGTTGTAGTAGTAGTGGACTCACCCTTCAGGCCGGAGATGGGCAGGAAGTGGACGTCGTCCTCACTTTTTACGTTGAACCCACAGCTCTTTAAGAAGGGTGTCAATTTCTCAATGATCTGGTCATATCTTGCCTTAGACCTGCCCAGTATCGGCATATCATTAGCCAATACCCTCACATGACTGTTACCAATTTACAGTGGGATCGTCCATCTTGTTGATAGTAACGATGAGTTTATTGACTCCCAAGGTCTTAGCAAGCATGGCATGCTCACGAGTTTGACCTCCCTTATCGAAACCCGTCTCGAACTCACCTGGTAATGATGATGATGCATCACACAATAGCCAAGGCGGCCTACCCTTTCGAGCTGATATCATTAATACTCCAATATCGGCCTGGGCGGCGCCGGATATCATATTGGGTACATAGTTCTTATGACCCGGGGCATCTAGTATGGTAAACCGTCTATTGGGTGTCTCAAAGTGGGCCCGACCGACCTGATCGTCTACTACGTTAAGAGCACCATCACTACTACCTTATCATCTACCCCACCTCAACAGTGATGCCCTTGGCCCTCTCCTCCTCGTTGGTGTCCATAATATAGGCCAAGAACCACGACTCTCGGTTCTTATCTTTAGCCTCTCTTTCGAACTTCTCAATAGTCCGATTGTCCACCAAGCCTAATACCGCCACCATAGACCTCATGAGGTGCATCCTCCTTACTACTACTACCTGACAGGTACATGATGTTTCCACAGGTGGTCGACTTGCCGGCATCGACGTGGCCTATGAAGACCAAGTTGAGATGAGGACGAGGATCGCAGTCTTTCAACTGGCTGGAGGCGTTATCAGATGACATCGATAATACGAGGGGAAAACGGCAACAAGAGCTAGATGCTAGAATCTTAAATCAAGGTGGATGGATACAGGGCATCGAATCGATCAGGATGTTGGGCGCGATTGATGATAGAAGGTCTCGAGTTCGATCCCCAGCAAGGGCGTTTTCGCACTAAACCTGAACGCAATACTTCTGTGGCCGCTGCACTTTCCTGGTGTCACAACTATCAGTGTTAACAGTAAACAGTATTGGAGGACAGCATCGAACGTTGCTGCCAGGACAGTATATATCGAGATACAATATTGATAATAGTATAGCAGTGGCAAGAGTGGCAGCAGTACGACGACGACCGATTCTTAGCCTTCTGCTAGCAAAAGTCGTAGGGGTTCTGCTTGTAATAGTAATATACACAAGATAGCTAAGAAGAGGAGGATTCAGCTGCAGTAGTGGAGGCAGCCGACCGACTGACGGTAGAGGATGGGCTTTTGGGCTCGGACAGGGTCGAGGGATGGCATATCTCATTGAAGAAGTCGGCTATGACTCTGGTGGCGTTACGGGAATCATTAGATGGAACCCAGGCCGGTGGCAGACCAATAAAGGCATGTCGAGATTGAGGGTAGACCTACGGGATTAGATAACAGCAACAGCGTTACTACTACTACTTACCTGCATTGTAGCCTTAGCTCCCCTCTTACGAAGGTATGCATAGGTAGCTTGAGTGCTATTAAGCAGAATATCCTTACCACCACATACTAGGTATATAGGTGGTAGACTCCATGCTGCACGGGGAGGCATTTGCTTTAAGACGTCCAAAAATTGGCTCGGCTGGCCCTTTCGGATGTGATGATTCCGAGTGTACCTACAGACCCTTAGGATGGGCTACTCTAAAGACGACTAGTACATCCTCATGGACACCTCCACGCCGAACTCGGCGATGGCTTGTTCGTTAGGAGATATGAATTTCAGCCGACCGCAATGATCTTGATGCCAGGAGTGGGAGTCGAGAAGGCCGTAACTAGAGAGGCATAGTGACGTGATGTGAAGGAAGTGTGGTATTATTACGCAGAGGCGACACCTAGTATGTTAGGCATCTGAGAGGGATGGAAGGGAGGGTAGGAGCACCCACAGGATAACTCAGGTAGATCTATACAACAAACCATGACTTCATCACATAGGAAGTACAAATATTACCATAGCCCTCAGTGACCCAAAGGGTGGCCATCAACGCTAGGGAGGCCCCAGCGCTGTCACCAAAGAGGCAAATCGAGTGGAAACCTGATTAGTGATACCTGGTGGCTTTGTTAACCTTGAGGTCTTACCTAATTGGTCCTTCATGTAGCGTAGGGCGGCCAGGACCTGTAGGAAAGCATCATTAAGCTCACCTATGAACATTGCTTACTGATAGCAATGGGCATGGGTAGGGATGCTCAGGGGAGAGAGGATAGTCCATAGAGTATACTGGGGACCGGCATGGAGATCTCGAAAATGCCGTCACACTATGTAGCATAACAGCCGAGTTGGCAGCCACAAACCCACCACCGTGTATGTAACTGAATACCACTCAGTAGGCCGCCTATCTACTACCCTATACTACAGTATTGGAATAACATCGTCATCAGTAGGAGAGGTTGGACGTATAACATCAATCGTCTGTCGTTTCTCTGGTCCATAACGATACCTAGATACCTATTACCCATAGTAAGGGAAGGAGTAATACTACTCTTTAAAGGTGATAGTGCAGTCTTTAGCTGGAGGGACGGCACCGTCTTGGGCCTCGAGGCCTCCAAGACAACCATTGAAACGTCCTGGGAGATGAATGTGCCTAATTAGCAACAATGACGATGATGATGATAATCCACCTCATACGTGCATGTTTAACATAGTACACAGATCTATTACTTCGTCAAAGTTAGTGCTAGGTTATCCAAAAGAAGCCGTATAAGGCATATCACGAAATGGGCAAGCGGCAAAAGCAAGCAGTCCCATAATAGTAATTCACGTAGGAATCTCATACTCCGGCTAAGCCCATTGTTGGTCATATATCGCATATCGTAGGCAGGAGCCTTAACGGCGGTAATGACAAGGAGTATATATAAAACAAGGGCTGTAGGATAATAATAGCACTTACCTCTGATAGAACGGCCAGAAGGTCTCTAAAGGTGGTTGAATGACGAACCGCACTATAAGGGCTCCCAAGGGGACGAATACTCTCTCTAATACCCAATCTATGGACTCCAGATATGACAATACTTCTTTGATATATGTCATTATGACTATTCTTAATTATAGTAAAATAATAAGAGTCGAAAGGAACTAGCATGAGAATGCTCCTTCTCTCTACTCTCCGTAGGATGCAAATCCTCCCAAGTTATCCTCAAAGTTATCGTTGCCCCTTTTCCAAGAGTAACACAAGACATGGTTATCGAGACGGTATGAATAGAAACAGTTGTCGTCCTCGGCTATTGTTGTTGTTACTACCATAATTCCATTAATAAACAGCCGACTACAGATAAGGTAGTAGTAACATCAGCGGATAGTGCTTATCACCGCCTCACTATGGTAGGAGAATATACCTAGCATCATGATGTGGCCAAGGAGTGGTACTACAATGATACTACAGTTTAGAGATTAACGTTGAGCCTGTCGGCGTATGTAGCCACCTTGTCATCATCGAAGACGTTAGCTTCCTGTAGAGTCTTGACCAATTCCATGACGAAGATTTCGGCGATGTTTGGTATGTCCAATTTCATATCCTCAATTATTCTAACATCACCAACAACTCCTATGAAGACCACTATCCGACCGAAACTCACTCAGGATCAGCAAACTCGTCCAAAGCCTTCTCGAGAGCCTTCACTTCCCAAGTACCCCTCTCCACTCCACCAAAGAGCTTGGCTAATGCCTGTATAGTGAGCAATCGAGGAGGTAGTGGAGCACGATAGGGAGTATGACTACCTCAAAGTGGGCCAACCTCTGCTCCTTCTTGATGTCACAGCTTGCACCAATACGATCCATAAGAATCTTACTCTGTTGCTCTGGAGTAGCTGTAATGTCAGCCAACTCCTGAACTGCATTATCAACCTGACCAAAGCTGTATAGTGGGCAGGGTATGGTGTGTAGGGAGCATACGTCGAGTGAGGCACTGAGCTCCTCCAAGGTGCTCTTCACCATCTTAGCGGGATCCTCGGTATCTAGGAGAGCACCAACATCATGGTCGTAGTAGTGAGGAGTACGATTGACTTACGGGCAACAGGCTTAGGAGCCTCAGGGGCGCTCATAGAGCCTGATGAAGGACTCGAAGATCTGTCAATACCTGTAGGATGATGGGCTAGAACCCAAGTCGGCAGCATACAAAGCAGGGCCCATAACTACTAGAGTATTACTTCTGCTCTTCTCCGGCATAGACGACCTAGCAGCCCATGGAGCAGGAGTAGGAGCAACTGGCATTGAGCCTCGAGAGCCTGAAGGTACTCTACGTGGCTGATGACCAACCCTGCTTCCTCTCTTACCCAGTCTGCTAGGGCCGGTGGCTGATAGTCCGTGAGGGACACTACCAGTCCTGGATACGGTACGATGGAGGCCCGAGCCCTTCTTATCTAATCTAGAGCTGCTACCAAACCCACTAGTTCGGGAGCGACTGAGGCCACCACGTCCACCACCACCATCTACAACAGGAAGCAGTTGATAGCACACAACGCGATGATAACTACTTCGGGAATTCTGACGACTGAATTTGGATTCAGTTTCGGCCCGTTCAAGTTCTACTTGACGATGCACCTGTGATATGCTGTGGTGGGACTTAGTGCATACCCCTATAGTATCCATACCTCCGAAATAGTGAGAGGGCCATTGTCCTTCTTAGGGTCGACCCAACGATGAGCCCTCAAATCCAAAATATCCTACAACAAAGGTCACACAGGTGGATGAGATGAAGAGTACATACCTCACACATAAAGCGAATCCTATTAGAGTAGCCCGAGTCGTCGGCTGACACGCTCTTTAGCTTATCAAACGTCGGAGCGAATCTGGACAGAGTGACATCGATAGTGATAATAGCATAAGGGCATCTCACTCAGCATAATGGCTCCATTTAGGATTATCATAAACAGGAGCGATCTCCCTTAGGAAAACACAAAGAGCTTCAATACACTCTTCTCGACCTACTTCCCACATCTGGGTAACCTGAAAGCATCAGCGAGATTATGATAGTGATGGACCATGCAGGCGAATTACACAAACTATAATAATCTTAGCGTGAATGAGTTTTCGCTTCAACAACTGTGCAACAAGTTTGATGTTGCCGAGCATTCTAGTCTTGTATCTGCAGAGGGATAATAGAGCTGGGATGAAGACATATTCAGCCCGGGATCCTCCTTACCGTATCTCGGCCTCCTGAAGTTCCTCTCCTTCTAGGCCACTTTCAGTGAGCTCGACTGGGGGCCTCAAGTTAGATTCGAAATAATGCTAACAACGTCAGCATCGTCCTCCTCTACAGTTTTCCCCCTACCTGGCATGTGTTCAACAACACGTTCTTAAAAGCCATGACCTGCTCCTTCCCTGATGAAACATCCTCGAGTACCGGCTCCTCACCTAACTCCACTAATGCCATCAAGGAGTAGAAGATACTATTACTAGTTCGTAGCCATTGCACAGTCCTTTGACAGACATCAGCATACATAGATATGAAGTGATGCTGAGTAGTGGCCTTCTCAAATAACTTATCCACCAAAGACTTCATATGCTTCTCCTTACATATACCCGTCTCAGCACTTTGGAGTTCATTCTGTCAAGCACACAGATCGTCATTAGTACTATCGAAATCAGCAAGGGTAACAGCTCACCACAAGCTTCTCGAACTTCTCCACAGTCAACTTGTTAAGGATGCCGATAATATGTCGTTCCACCTTCTCATCACCAGATTGCTGAGAACAACAACGCCAATAATATCCTCAGACAGAACGCTACGGGACCCTGCCTCTAATTTCAGCTTCTGTTGAGTAGCCCACGAACTCTCCGAATGTTGAAGTGGTTCGACATACTCGTTGGGGTCAGGAGTAGGACGTCTATCACCACCATGGCGACCAGACTTGCCACCTTTGCGGCCTAAGCAGCAGCAGGATACCCAAGGATGAGAGCTCGTTAAGTATCCTCTTACGACCGTCCTTATGTCTCATTGACCTATGCTTATCTGCATCTCTACGCCAATCCATACCATCATCATCCTCACCACCCTTTTTCATATGGCCCATCCTGACCACATATACTATAACAACCCCTAGTTATATTTCCCAAGCCCACCTAGAGTTCTTGAGGATCTGTGTAGGTATGTTATGATCCTTAGGCAGTTCTTGACATTCAGGTAGATCCCTCAATGAGCGTAGGAAGTCCAAAGTATAGTGCCTAGGAGGAGAGTAGAGAACAGGATATAGGTTATCATCCTTACTGATAGTCCAAGACAGCATCATAGTTAGGAGTAGGGCTAGGTGTGTATTCATCATCATCTTCATGATGAGGGGGATGATCATAACCCTCAGAGGCAGTGACCTCCTCCTCCTCTTCATTCTCTTCTCTAGCTGTCTTCTCGGACTCCTCCGATTCCCGAGCAGTAGCGGCCTTCTCAGCTGGAGTAGCAATAGAGTCGTTGTACCTCTTATGCAGCTTACCTTCAGCGGCCTTGGCGACAGCAGCAGCAGCAGCTTCCTCTTCCTCTCGAGCGATACGCTCCTTCTCCTCTTGGGCCTTCTTGGCAGCAGCAGCAGCAGCAGCTTCCTCGGCCTTCTTGGCAGCAGCAGCATCGGCCTCTTCTTGGGCCTTCTTAGCAGCAGCAGCAGCAGCTTCCTCTGCCTTCTTGGCAGCAGCGGCAGCAGCAGCTTCCTCTTCCTCTGCCTTCTTGGCAGCAGCGGCAGCAGCAGCATCGGCCTCTTCTTGGGCCTTCTTAGCAGCAGCAGCCTTCTTTTTCTCTTCCTCAGCTTCCCTTTCCTCTTGCATCCGAAGGCGTTGAGCGGCCTCCTTCTCTTCCTCCTCTTGTCGTTGTTGTTCTCTCAATACTCTATCAGCTTCCTCCTGCTTAGCTTTCCTCTCCTCCTCCTTCTCTTTAGCCAACTCAGCAGCAGCCGTCAGAGCACTAGCCCTCTCGGAAGATTCCCCCGAAATGATCGGATCATGTGCCTAAAGAGCAGACATCCAATTTACCATCCCAACAGGCCAACCTACCGGCTTCACCGTGGGCGTCTTGGAGGCCCTTATAGCCCAAGCTCCCTTCAAGTGGCGAGGGGACACAGGTGGGCTCAAAGGCTTATCGGAGGGTTCCGTAGTAGATACTACTGGCTTAGGCAGAGTCGGCGATGAGGCAACTACCATCTTAGGTGTAGACTGCTGCTGTACAGCCACCGGCTTGGGCGTGGAGTGCACAGATGGACTCGGCGCCTTAGAGCCCACTAGAGGTGACTTAGTGCTGACCACAAGAGGGGAGGTAGTAGGAGGGACCATGTGAGCCTGCTTAGCCCTGTCCGCCCAGGATGGCGCACCGTTGGTCTCGCTAGGGACCTGCGGGCGATCAACCCGTTTTGGTAAGCAGATCAAGCCCTCCCTTACCTCCTCCTTAACATCAGACTTTGCAGGTACCTAACAGGATGTTGAGCTAATCATCTACGTTACGAGGAGCTCACCACTGTAGCCTTGGGAGCTGCTGTTGTAGGGACAGGCTGCTGATGACGGTGGGCTGTGTTCACAGTTGGTGTCTTGGCAACTAGTACTCTCGGGGTAGATGTCTAGATGGAGTGGTATACGACGAAACTGGTTACAATATCCCTCACCTTAGGAGCCGGACTGCTCGCGGCGGACGATGCCTTCAGCTTAGCGGCCCAGTTCATCACCTGCAAACCCCGAATAAAATCCTACACCCACAGTCCTCATCTCACCTTAGGCTGTGAGCCGTTGGTAGCAGCGGCTGACTCCTTCTCCGCCTCTTCCTTCTTCCTCTCAGCCTCCTTCCTCTCCTCTTCCTCTTCTAGATGCTTTAACTGATAGAAAAAGCGTAAAATCCCTCCACTGCGTCTTGCGCCGCCCCTACAGCTTCCTTATCGAGCTTCTTGCCAGCTGCCAATATTGCAGCAGATACTGCAAGAGAGGGACCAGAGAGGTCGATCTTCACATCCTCCTTCTTCTCAGGGGTACCCTTGGTAGGAGTATCCATACCACGATGATGGGTTGGTGATGTATTGATAGAGGATGGTGCTCCTCCCTTGCCCCCCTGGAAGCATGCCATGCCCCACCAATTCCGTTCACAACGACCTACCTTGCCTCCCTTCCCTCTATTGTTAAAACCCTTGCCTCCCTTGCCACCCTTAGAGGTATGGCCATTCCGAGGGCCTCCCCGACTCATGTTAGGATTCTTCCGACCCTCCTGACTGTTGTTACCAGGAGCAGCCATGACCCCCATAGCGCCACCAGCGGGATTAACAACTCCCATCGGGGCAGTATAGTACGCAGACATCTGAGGTAAGGTGCGATTAAGATATGAAGGACAGAAGAGCACCTACCGGCACACCCACAGCAGGTCCTTGAGGTGTCATGTAATTCACTAAATAGGCTGCTTGGGGATAATAACTGAATCAAGAGTAGAAGGCCAATGATGGTGTAGCCTTACCCTGGATAGTTGGCAAAACTAGCAGCAGGCATGGCGTATTGGTATCTGATAGCAGCACAAGTGTGATGAGGGTAGATAGATGAGGGAAAGGGTAGTACTCAATAGGATAGGCCTGATGAGTAGCAGTAGCGTCCCATCCTCCCTTGGCTGTTACTCCAGTGGTGGGCAGAAGACCATCACCAGCGGCTCTATTTGACGGTGAACTCGCTGAGTGACCTTTTGATAGGAATTCAGAGAGGAGTGGTATGACCGACAGTCTTACCTGATTGTGCGGATTCCGATTGCCGCCGCTTAGGGGTAGAGGAAGATGAAGAGGCAGCAGAGACCTCCTTAGCGCTAGTCGCTGATGTTGTTCTTGTTGACGTTAAGTTGTTATTGTTATTGCCGGTAGCGGTTGTGAAAGAGCCTGTCAAGTATAACTCCTTTATGCAACCAGCACGACCACAAATACCTACCAGGGACAAACTCACACGCATTCGGGTTGAGTTTACTCGATGGCGATGTTTGTGTGGCCATGATGGAAAATGTAACTGCTCAACAACATCATCATCTACTCAGCACCATGCAACTAGTCATCCTCATCATTATGCTACTAGTACTAACCACACTGTGCTCACCAATGCACTAAGGTAGCTTACTCGCGATGAGGATGATAGCGAGGTAGATAACAGAGAGTTGAGTAAATGCAAGATTTTGTAGAGAGCAAGATTCTGGCTCGTTTTCCTCGAAGCTCCAACATCGCTATGTTTGAAATTCAAATATATAACTCTGTTCCCAGAAGAGTGATTATAACATCCTCCTGTAGGTCCTTGTGTAGTCATGTCTAAAGATTTGGACGTCGTTAAGGTCCGTACCTCTGATGGTGTGATCGTACCTATACCTCTGAAGGCTGCCCGCTTCAGCATCTTAGTCAACAACATGATCGATGATGCTAGTGATAGCATCAACGACGAGGTAATATAAGTAGGACTATAGTTATGATGCCTCCTTCACATAGGAGATACCTCTACCTAATGTCACTTCAAAGACACTAAGCAAGGTCGTACAATGGTGTGAGTATCATATTGATCATCCTGTTAGTAGTACCACTCCATTCGCAACTTCTCCCGATTGCCACAAGTCAGGTGTCATCACGAAGCCCTTAAAGATGGGCGGTTGCCTCACAGATAATGGCGTGTCTGATTGGGACAACAAGTTTGTGGATTTACCCGAGGTGGTTTTACTTCCCCTCTCCTCTCCCCCTCTACCACTGTCATGTTGTCCAGGAGGAGCTGTTCGATGTGATGTTAGCTGCCAACTTCATGGACATCAAACCACTACTGGAGCTTTGTTGTGCCTCGGTACTCCGTGACGACTCACCCCAGGCCACTCTGCTTGTTCTTCACGACCATCAGCTCGGGCTTATATGATCTTCTTATCTGAGACCCCTCAGACGCATTTGACTTTTTGTGATGGTACTGAATCGTTCTCGGCGCACATGGGATGGTTGCATAAATATAGCTCGACAAGTTCAGGTAGCATCTTCTATCAAGTCCAAGACGGTTGAGGAACTACGACAAGAGCTTGGTGTTGGTGAGGATGGCTTCACGGCTGAGGAGGAGGAGAAGATACTTCGGGATAATGCACACTGGTAGGTCCCGGGTGGTAGTCATAATCTCATCGTCACTGCTAACCTCTTCCTCGCCCGGGCCCAATCAAACTCCGATCGATATCTCAATCGAAGGCTGGGTGGAAGCAGCAATCTCGTCGCAGTAGAATATTCATTAAGTTCAGTGAAACCCGCTTATTGTGAAGGTTGAGCATGTTAAGGTCTATCAGGTGTAAAGAGGCCGCAGAGATGTTGCAAGAGATTGAGAAGGAGAAAGCCCTCGCCGCCGCTTCTACTGGCGGAGACCAGAAGACTTCCAATGAGGATCAGAATTAGAAAACGGTCGTATTATAACAAAGCGCAAAAATTTGTAGAGTAGTGTATTGATTTTCTTTCAATTAGGTCGGGCAGTAGTGTTCGAAGTGTCAATTGCAAAGGTATGTAAAAGTGTAGAGAGTATCCTTTGATGAGGCCAGAGGTTGATAATGCTCATGCAAGGCTAACAATAGATACCGATAGCGTTCGTTACTTTCTGTATTCGATAGACTCCCATTATATCGGTACAAGTGAGTTACTGATGGGATGAAACGGGAGGCATTAGCCTGGCAGTTGGCAGTACATGCGAGGCCCAATTTTTGCTTTGTGAAGGAGTGGACTCAATAGCGTGGTGCTTTCCTCTAACCGGGTGCGTTCCTTGATGACTCCCACAGTTATGATACATAAACCGATCAGTTGTCACCCAGAGAAGGGTGAGACGATTGATCATTGGTGGAAGACCGAGTCGGTCGGCGGAAGAGATAGAAGACACATGGAGAGAGTGAGATACGCACGATGAGCTCGAGCTCGTCAATTGATTAGAATGGGGGGCAGTGAAGGTCAAAAAATAGATGGTTGATGGGATGAGTCGATTACTCGTCGATGACGGGTGAAATCCCTCTATATACCTTCGCAGAAACCAATCGATTGCCCCGGGCTTGGAGCTTCCGGCGTACAATTTTCATTGACATTCGCTTATTGAATACAGACTCTGTATTACAGAGTCGTGCCATTTTCCATGACTTGACTATCAAGCCCGAATGCACTGTTAAGCCACAGTACGATTAAATACAAGCAGTACTAACCTTGTTGCATCTCGCTATCATTGATGACGATTGTGAACCAGACATCTGCGCTATAGATGGGCAGTGTAACGTTTCCTTACGCTTTGCGTTACGGTGTGCGTAACGTAAGTAGTCTACGGTTACGAAAAGGCCTTACGGCTTACGCTTGATGCTGAACTGCCTTTTTGGAAATTGTGGCGGAAACATTCGCTGTAATGCACTCCACCACAGCACACATTGTTCTTAAACTCGTTTCTGGTGACTCGGATTCAACCGAACCGCGAGAGAATAATATTTGGTTTCGCATTTATCACTCGTCCGCCTTGCAAATTCCGTCCGTCCCAGACTGGCCTGGAACTGCCGAGCCGGTCTCGTCTGGGGATGCGGCTTCACATCAAGTAGATTTAGGCGACCTGAATGATCATTCCTCGTTTCTCCCTGCGCACCTCCGGAAGACCCGTTATGGCGTCGTAATTTTCGGTACGGGGCTTGAAGCGCGTAACCGCAAAAGTGAGCCATAACAGTCCGTAACACAATCCTGCTCATCTGTAATATACGCTTCAAAGCAAGGATTAACTCAACTCGTGGCTGCGCTGCGCGGCCTGCGCATGCGTGCTAGATAATTGTGTCAGTTTTTTCATACCACTCATCCTCCACATCACGTCACATAAGGGCGTCTCCGGGCATATGAGTGATGTCGACTGTACTCGAACAGGATCACTTATGTAGTGATTTTCTTTCGTTCACAAGAGTACTCTTGACAAAACCCTAAACCGTGATGAGGAGTTGTATACCCCACCCTAATGGAGGTGTAGTCAGTACAGTCATGTACTCGACTTCGATGATCCATCCCGTATGGGACTGGGGTGTGGGTATTGCTGAGCGGTTAACTTGTAATCTGTGTAATCATAAGTCAAGTTGAGGGGAGAGAATGGGCATGCTAAAGACACCAGTGCCATAATACGTACACGACACTCGATAGTATCGATTTGGGACCTCGAGTTGGAGTGGTCAGCCTTGCCGTCAAGAGGATTGGATGTATTTCTAAGAGGATTGGATGCATTTCTGATCAGATATTGGAAGCCTCTTTCGAAGCGGCGCAGAACTGTTGAAACCCACGTCCGAGGGCAAACGCTAATTGGCTTTCAGCAGCGGTAACAGTACCAGGAGGAGAAAGTGGAGGCTGCAGAGTGAGGCCCTCCTAGATCTATTATCATCAATCGAGGCTACCAGATACTTGACTCTAGGTCACCCCGGCCAATGGAACCGCACCGTATTCTGGAAATGTTTTGGAAGGACGAGCGTCAGCGACATGTATCAACCAATCCTTGACCTTGAAGTGTTGCACATTCACCTTAGGCTGAGGTCCCTAGCATGCCCCTAATGTGATTCATTGGCATCATCTGCGTATTGATGTGTCTTCTGTATCAGGAACGAGCTCACTCTCCCCGACGCTAATGCCACTGCTGAGGCTCTAGTTAGCAACATACTCGCAAACAACAGGGGTTCGACTGTCTTGAAGGGATTACTCGAGTAGGTACCTGTTCGAGACCCGACTACTACCATCAGTGGAGTGAGTGCTCCTGACCAATTGCCAGGAATCATTACTTAAGATGTGAATATTGTGTGAATATCCCTTAGCTCATGGGCATCGACAGGAACTGTTCAGTTCGCGCGTATGAATGGCCACCTTACCCAGCTACGGGGAGGTATAATGATGTAGTATTCTCAGGCTGGCTGCTGCTGCAGCAAAGTTCCGAGGGGCGAAATTTGCTTTCACAAAATTTGATTATGCATTTAATACATAATCAGGGTGTCGTCTATTCCAGAGTTATATTTTAGTTCGAAACTAGAGGAAGTTGTAACATCGAGCCAGGGACTGGAGCTCCTAGTCAAAGTTGATGAGAAACTTACCACTCGAATAACGGAAGGTACCTTTTCGACCTAGGATCACCTGGATGCTTCCTCCGGAACACTCGAGTGTTTAATGAATGATGAACTCATGGAGAACTATTGGTCGGGCCACTGTTCAAACGTTGAACTTCAAAGCGTTGCGTTCAACAACAAGACGTGAATGTCTAAGACGTCATGACTCACGAATAGCCCAGGTAGTGTCGAGGTATCAGTTGATGAACTCTAGGAAGAACACAACAAGGGAACAAGAGTCAGAGCAACCAATACATCGACCGTGGGGCAATAACAATGAGTGCCCTACTTGCACTCATCTTCTACATGCACTCACACTCAACGCAGCTCAGTAATCGACCTTGGGCTTATTCGCTGTAAAGAGAATGGTGGAGGTTTGATCCATCAAGCAACCCTCCAGATTATAGTAATAATCTTCGGGACAGAACGGGCCAACACCAGTTGCGGGAGAACCAGTGGTATAAGAAGATCGTGGGCAAACTGGACCCACAACAGTAGATAACTCTGGCTTTCGTTGGCGGGGCAACGGTGACTGTCCATGTTGCTTAAACTCAGAACTTAAAAAGGTTACTCCACCATTGAACTACTCCTTGTTCACCGAATAGCTCATGGCCCTTTATGGTTTATTGTCATGTTGGGTCTAGTGCATTTAAGGGTCACTACTCTTATCATCACAAGCTGTGAAGGTTATACTTCTTTAGACTTCTTCCATCACTATTTCCATCAATATCACTTCAAAATAGAGTACTAGTCAGACAAGGCGGTATCGTGCTGCATGGGGATGAAAAGCTTTCGAATACGAAAGAATCGAGAGGACTTGTGACCTTCTTGGATTATTGGGCCACTTGAAAGCCACCTTCAGACCGAGATACACCTTGCTAATATACTCAGTGAGTATTTCCTCGTATCAGGCTGTGGGACACGAGATAGTACTGTGGGGAATGTACACTTCGGAGATCCTCGAACTTACGTTGAATCGCCTATCCGTTGCCAATGTTAAGTCTGGTCAATAATGCTCTTTTATGGGGGACAGTGTGTGATGATAGTAGCATCTACACCACCCATATCTACAGCAGTATACAACCCGAGTAGAAGGAGCATCACATGGAAGGAATCTCTTCTATACTATCCCATCACAGCGCGCCGCCGAAACTTAGTCACCTTTTATGGTCCAAAGCCCACACATATAGGAGATCGATGTGGAACTTCAAAGCACCATCCTGCTGCTCTGACATACCGGAGCTAGGCTAGCTCTGCGCCGCAGAGTCTGCGGAGCTATCTCGATGTAGAGCTGTTCCGCAGAACAATAGGCTAGAAAGTCGATCGTGCTTCTCGATCATCTTGCCAAAAAGATATTTGAAAAGTTGACGTGCTGATACATCACCCCATCAATTCACCAGTTGCCCTGTACTTATGACTAACCACCCTTTTTTCCCACCACTTTCTGACAATTCCGTTACTTGCCCCCGAAACTTCTCAAATGTGGGCGAGCGTCGCTCGCCGAGCGACTCACGCTCACGGGTGATACAGGTTTCGCCAACCCTATAAAACCAGAGTGACCCCTATCAGTTTCAATCCCAAGTGAAGTTTTTAGCAATATGTCGGGTCATCTACAACCGTTGATGCCCAAAAGAAGGCCTCCTGACAAAGGCAGTTTCCCACTTGACCATTTCAATCAATGCAAGCAGATCCACGATAAGTATCGTAATCTGGAATACGCAGGGTTTCCCAGTGTAGGACGCATATTAGGTACCTCAAATGTCTTCGTAAACACAAGAATGATAATCGAAGCTGTCGATTCCTCGCTAAGGAGTATCTCCAGTGTCGGTGAGGCTAACGAAGAATCAATTTTAGTAACCTTCACTCACAGAATGGATCATGGTCTCATGGCGCCAGAGCCGATGGAACGTCTAGGATTCACTCCTGAGGATGATCGAGCACATAAGCCTCGAGACGTTAAGACAGATACTGTGCGTACACGATTGAGTTGGCCTGAGTATTCCTATTCGATCAGGTTAGAGAGGATAAAGGGTGGTTAGCTGGTAGAGAGTTGTTGGAGGCACGAGGGTGGGTTAGGCCCAGGATGTTTGGTGGAGGGGTATGGGGTGGTAACAAACTCGATAACCGGAATAAAGTTAGTGATGATAATGACGATACTGTTGAATGATGGTAGGCATGTTTCTGCTCATTCTAATTTTGTGTTGTTCTCCCTGTAGGAATGAGCACCAGCAGAAGTGTTGTTTAGCAAGGTTGCGGTGTCGGGTCTTGGTGACTGTGTTCCTCATTGTGCCGCTCAGTTTAACTTTTTCCCGATGATCAGACGATTTTTCTGCTCCCCCGCAGCCACCAACACCTATGAGAAATCTGTAGGTCAATTCTTGAGAAATGTAGATCCGATCCTATCAGCATCGATCCAGTCTGAATTGCTATCACCGGAATCTTCATATCGTCACCGGACCCGATCGTTCTCCCGATGGAAATGTGTGGAATCCACACGTTTTCAACGTGATATATAGTTAGCTTCCCATTAGGGTGAATAATGAGTCAATACTGATCTACTGCAAGCCCTGGGGTGAAGATCTATTCAGTCTCAGTCCCTCGCCTTTATGTGTTAACCAGGTGTACAGCTAGAGATGGTGTTTGTCGTATCTCAGCTCGAGTCTCTACTGCGGGCATCGTTAGGAGCAACATCAGCTAAGGTCCAAGATGTATCAGGAGGATGTGGGTCGAGCTACAAGGTCGAGGTCCACTCACCCAAATTCATTGGTAGTAAGCGCATCTGTGTATGTATTGTTGGAGTCATCAACGCGAGAAAAATACGGAGTATTACATATCAACTTGTCAAGTAGGATGAATGAAATCGAATTGTCGCAATGTGAAGGTGATATTTAGTCTGTTGATCTGCGATCCTATGCCTACTGTTGCCTTAGCATTGCTTTAGAATGGTAGTGGACGAGCCTATGTGTGACCTCGTAGAGCTCCTCTGTCTCGTTGGAGATACGTCTCATATTGCAGGCCTCACTCGAATCAAGCAGCATCAAATGGTGAATGACGCTCTGAAGGATGAGATCAAGAAGTGGCACGCGATCACCATTATCACTAAGCCAACTCCTCAGTGATATAACTGTAACATTGTCAGTGTGTTTCTATCTTAATTCATGCAAGCATGGCGTTCTTTTAATAGGATTCACAACTTGTCTTAGTTTTTTTTGACAACCGATGGAATCCTGTGGGAGGTCGTCAGAGGGAGCGGATAAGGTGAATAGAATATAGAATGCGGATCACAAGCATGGTTCGTCGACCTCAGATTTTTTTTGATAGCTCAGCCCCGTCATCGAAGGGGAGTACTGGAGGCGATAGTGGTAGCTTTAATATCGGTAATAGGGTACATTGGATTGCTACTGTAGTACATTCATATGGCTCCGTTGTTGATGAAACTCTGACAGTATTCATTTAGATTATTAATAATATCAATATCGTCATTATAATACGAAATATAATATTTATATAGAAGATAGACTACTATTCCCGATGCCCTATCAATCTATTATCATATTTACACAATACAGTATATATTATGTAATTATAAAGATTCTAAAATATGGTATCATAAGTATATATTTATGATTAAGTTAGATTTACCATTAACTTATATTAATAAGCATATATTATGATATACTCCTTACAGTTGCTCGTTGCCCTGTTCTCGAATTGTTGTTCTATCGTATTCTTGCATTGTTCTCATCGTTCCGAATGTATGCCTGTTCTATTGGTGAGTACACGCAGTTAGTGATGTGAACAAGGCAAACTGTCATTTGGATATAATTATTGATTTTGTTGCATCATATCATCTGCTTGTAGGACCGAAGGGAGTGGCGGCAGAAAGTGCCTCAAACGCATCTATAGAGGCTAGAAGGTGAGCTCATATTGCACCAGGCCTTGATATCTAATACCATCCCTTTTGCAAATTATGTTAGGCAATCCAGTTTTGAGAGTCAGTCGGGTATCCGATATATCCCTCTTGGAATTCGTCATGACACCTTCGAAGTGGAGCGTCACCAAAGGCTCCTCAAGACTAAGTCGAAGACATTAATCTCGTTTCTAGATTGAGGCTTTCTTCGCGTGCAGGTTTTGCCGTTTTGGTCCAAACTGTGAATTCGCCCGCAAAGGGCAATGCTTCTTCGTTCATTCGCCTCAAGAGTTGAAGTACCGTCCCCCCAAGCCAATTGGATATCCGGTAGTAGTTGATGTTGGTGAGGTACAACAGAATGATGTACTATCCGATTTTGGACACGCCAGAGACCTTTTCTAGTAGCGATCGCTTTCCCACATTCTCACTGACATGCAGTGATGGTTTCGTGGTATCGATTTTCCTTGTAGGTGAGATCTCGCGGTTCCTCAAATTATGATGATTACGACGACTTCTACTATGGTGAAAGTACCGAAAATGATTATTACTATGGGAATAGCCAATATGAGGGACACGAAGTGTCTGATTATGATCGTAGTGGAATTTGTGAAGTAAGTTTTATTGGCTTCGGCTCCGTGATGAAGCACCTGTATTGGTAGTCTGAAAGGGTGAAGAAGTCGACTAATTCTACGGAGCCAGCACTCATCGCGATGGAATTAGCTGTTCAAGTGGGTCAGAGCACCTCGACTCTACAATTATGTCGAGTGATAGATTCGAGACTTCGCCACGACTCCTGAACATCTGCAGCTTTTGATGCAAGCAATGACCGTATTAGCCGCTAGTGAGAGGGCGGACAATAACGGAGGTGGTAAGTACACGTCTTGGCATGGCTACTTGTAGTGTGTATCTCATTATCTTGATGCCCATCACTTGATACCATTCAATAACTTGAATGGTCACTCAGGAAAATCTCAATGCTCATGATTGCTCAAACAGGTGGCGTCGTTAATGCAGCTCTCACATTGTCAAAGTCTTTGGGACCAACACAAGATACCTCGGCATCTAATAAGACAAATACTGATCTTGAATCGAACTCTCGTCTGCATACTACCTTCTCGGTGGGTTCATATTTAGTTCGAAATCGGATCACTGGGTGTTGTTGCAGCTGCATGTCGATAATCACTCACCTCTTCCTGATGATGTGAAGACTAACTTTAAGACCGCGCATGAGGAGGCGGGCGGCTCTGCCGAAACCGACCTTCCTGATGGATCTTGTGCTCAACAATGATGCGATGATCTTTATGAATTTAAGATGGACGATCTGTGGACAATATTGAAGTGATATGACACATGCGAGACTGGAAGCTTTTTTCGTTTTTCTTCTCTTTTTTTGGTGTGCACCATTGATTGTGTTCGTTGTTTGCCCTCTCATCGCTCTAATCGTTGTCCTTATCATTGATGTGATACAATCCTCTGGGTTGTCATGGATGTTCGATGAGTATAGCTTACCTCGTGCGGTCAGTTATTATCAGCGCATTTTCAGTAACACAGAGAATGGACGTCTCAGTGGCGTCGGGCGGTGGTTTCACGTTAATTGTTGAGTTCTAAAGTCCGTGCGCCTACGTTGGGGTGAGAGAGCCCTCGGATGACGTTTTCCAGTGCTGGATGCCCGTTGGTAAAAGAAACCTGACGTAGATTTCTTACTGACGTGCTTTGCTCATCGGAGCCAAAGTGCATTGAGTGATGGCATAGAAACTCTGACCAACTCGTTAATCACATTCAAACACGGCGCGAATGGACATATAGAGGATGAAGAATAAATACCTGGGACGGGATGATGAAAGATGGGAAAAGTGATCTGAGCACAGTCAATTGCCCGACGAATGACATTTCGATGCTACTCAATGATGACAATCATAAATGTATTGCCGAGAGCCCGCTCTGGTCATGATATTTCGAAGTAGTTCTTTTTTAGTTAGTATATTCGCTTCGTTGCTTGCGTCATGTATTTGTATGCCCTGAAAGCAGGGTAGGGCGATTCGCGACGCTGAGGCATGTTGTGGTCCAAACCGATGGTGCACTTTCAAACTATGGATAGGATCAATTATGAAGGCGGATATATTTTTCCGCCTGAATTTCGTACCGCTCCTTCCAGAGATCCCACGAAGTAGGGGGTGATCTGTGGCATTATGTGATGTCGACTGTACTCGAACAGGATCACTTATGTAGTGAATTCCTTTCGTTCACAAGAGTACTCTTGACAAAACCCTAAACCGTGATGAGGAGTTGTATACCCCACCCTAATGGAGGTGTAGTCAGTACAGTCATGTACTCGACTTCGATGATCCATCCCGTATGGGAGTGGGGTGTGGGTATTGCTGAGCGGTTATTATACTGATGCATAGTGATGTCCGATGTTCAGAGCTTACTCTTTGATCGATTCACTATTGACAGTTAACATAGTAATGCTGTTGGAGAGCTCGTACTTCGTCTATTATAACATTTTCTAGACTGGGCTTTGGTTATCACATATCTCGCTAGGAGTCTAATAGATTCGTTCAAGTCCTGCTCAGCGATTTCGAGAACGAAGGATGCTGTTGCTGACGAGTCGTCAGTGACGACGATTAATGGTGGCCTCTACTACTGCAAGATCAGCATCTCCATGCCTGGAGAATGCTGTAGACACTATGACCACCACACGTAGAAGGGGCTCCCTCGGGAATTCATGGGTTTGGATTTGAACTACACGAGGGTTATCGATTGGCAGTAGAAGTAGTCCCCTGCTGTCAGATCGTCCCCGATGTTGAAGTAGCTATGGGTATGAATGGGAGGGACATGAGATAGTAATGGAGGAGGAAGGCACTCTGCGATCTTCACAGAATGATGCGGAGCCTCGTGTGGTCCATCGTCCAGGATGAGCCCCTAGCGGTGGTTTGGAAGACCTTCACGGTCACCATATTGACAGCAGGCTCAGTGGCGGTCAATTCCCTGACTATCGATCTAACGTAAATAAATAGACCAGTGGTCCTGTCACCACGTCGTGTGATGCTTATGGGATTGCTGGATGACCTAGTGATGGGGCTAATGATGTCGTGATGGTGTGGTATTCTACTGTGGGATGCCACTCAGGGGTATCTTCAATCGATCGACTCTAGTGGGTCGTGGACGGCACCCCAACTCGGGGTACCCCAAAGTCTGTCAGACCACACCTCGTAGGTCAGTACTGTTTCCGCCGAGATCCTTCAGCACACTCTTTGCAACGTAAGAGGACATAGTAGATGCGCTGTTCATTGCGCGCGACAATTTGATCTATCCTGAATTAGCGGTAACACAAAGCTACTTGAGTTTGTCTACCTAATGGTGGCTGGGGTGTCGGTAGGGGTGAATAAATGGGTCGATTTCCTCTGGGTAAGAGCCTCTGATGTTTCAGATCCATCATGGGGACTACCACAGGTCAACTGATTTGAGTTTTACAGTTAACGTCAATTGATCGCCTTCATGTGTTTCCTTGACAGTTCTACATGTAACCTTTCCCCCTTCCCCATACGTCTATTAAGGATCGGACAAGGCCTATACCCATCGATGTTGTATCGACTCTTAATTCTAGTGGAGGCTCCCAGGAGATCGAATACAGTATATCTCGTGTTTGAAGATGGCTATAGAGATGTTGTTTTAATCCGGTAGAGCTCCAGTTATACTTATTATTATCAGCATTCATTTATATACGGTAGTGATGCTAACTCAGGACCAATAATAATAATCTTTGGCCGGGTTAGTAGATATTAGTCCAAATCGATTAAGAGGGCGCGCGGTATTACGTTTGTGCAGTTTTCGTGCAATTTTTTGGTTAATGCTGCAAGTTGCACTCAAGTACGCACCTTGTTGGCATCGCTAGAGCTACAGTTGCTCAACCATTCATCCGAAGACTCCATAAAACAAAAGTATGAGCAGTACCACACCGGGGCAACATCCAACTCATCATCATCAACAACAGCAGTTTGGTTCGGAGAGGGAGGAGGGTTCGCATCATGATGACGAGGGAATCAACGCGATGGGAAGTCGGAGTGATGTTAGAGGACATCGATTTGGCTCTGGTAATTTAGGGATAGGGTAATGCTGTGAATTCGTTACTTTGTAACATTTTATAGAGTGAGATTCGTACCATAATTAGTTGGGTAAATTCCGCGTCACGCTAAGTAGAGCAGCATTACTCGTGCGGACTTAATACTGAAATCCCCCCTTGTGGGGGTCCGGATCGACTCGTGATCTATCCTCGTGGTGGTGTGTACTCACACTCATTCTCGTTGATCTCGCGCCCATTGCGAAGATCGATGTTAACTTGGTAGGGGATCGAGGATCGGATGCCCAACCGTCGACTGGAGGCGGCCCTCGACGTCGGGCGGAGCTGCCCGAGACCATCAGGACTTTCCTTGATCGGCCTGATGAGGTTGCTAGAGACGACGTTAGGTGATAGCACTGGGTGTGGCGGGGTTAGGGTATGATTACTTTCAGAACGATCATCAATAATTTTGAGAAGACCCAACTGGTAGAGCTCCTTGCCCATGCTTCCACTATAAGCAAGGAAGTGCGGGATGCCTTGAGAGCAGTGGTAGGGAGTAATGCGACCTTCAGGAGGCTACTGGTTAGGAATATAAGGTTATATTTGGGGAAGGAGGCGAAACGGTTTAAGACGGTTTTCCATGTGTCAGTTTTCAAAGCTCGAGTGATACTGTTAAGAATGCCCTGGGTAAATTTGGTGTGATTGAAGAGGTAGTGCAAATGGTGTCGCTATCACAGCGTAGGACTTGGTGCTATGATAGGGTACGGTCGTGTACGATCGTCACACTGGGAGGAGTAAAGGGTTTGCATTTGTTACATTTGAACGCGTTGAAAGTGCATGCGAGGCAGTTAGCTGCTCTAACCAAGGAAAGGTAAGTAGGATTACCTCATTACTGCATAGTGTATAAGTGTACGTATTAGATTTATCTGGATGGTCGACAATTGATTCTCAAGTTTGCTGCTGATAAGATAGACCACGATCAACAAATGGGGGTCGTTCAAGGTAATGTATCATTTTGGTGTATTAAACTTATGCCTGTGTGTTCTTAGCCACTCCCAGTGGTGCTGAGAGGGATAAGTCTGTCGAGGTGATTAGTGTCATGATGGTAGCCACTGGTTTGACTGCTCTTTGCAGATGTCGACGTCCTCTGTGGGAGGTGGTGGTGGTGGTCAGACGACAGGTGGAGTAGCGTCATCCTCTGACTCTGCGAATAGGGGAGGAACTTATTCCAATCAAAGCATGCGTAAATTATTCGTATACAATCTTGCACCGTATACTACGTCTGAGACTTTAAGAGTAAGTTAGGCTCGATTCGAGGTAATAAAGGTTGTTGGTAATGGTATTGCTTTTTAGGAAGTATTTGGAAAGTATGGTCCAATGGATGAGTGCATTGTAGTTTATGACTCTGCTGGAAAGAGCAAACGATATGCGTTTGTAACGTATAGTAATGTAGAAGATGCTTGGGCTTGTTTGGAGGTAAGATACTAATGGAGATCTCAGAAGTAGCAGGAGGAGGAATAAAGGAGTTTGTAACCTCAGGAACCGCATAAAACGGTCGATGGTCGAATGACATTCACTCATCTAGCTTCTGAGGGGAGTAGTAGTGGTGGAGGTGGTGGTGGTGGTACAAGTGGGAGTAAGTTATTAGATGTACCAGCTCGGAATCGAACCGGAGGTCCTTTTCTGTGTAGGTGGAGAGTATGGGAATCGGCGATCTCGCAGCAACTTCGCTGGGACCAATCGGGGGCCGCCCCTACGGGGTCACTCTCCGATTGGCAGGAGCGCTGGGATCCCTCGGAGCGGTTCTTTAGGAGCAGGAGCAGGAGGAGCAGGCGAAAGAACTCCAGGCGGCGGAAAGGGATTGAAGAAGGGGTGGGTTGCTGGTCTAGTCGTGAAGTTCTCCGTTGTGTTCATAGTGTCCCAAGTTCAATTCTCAGTCGAGATGTTTCTTGTATGTTCAGATACGCATCAGGCCCGTCACCGCAGGCCGCGGTCCAGATGGGCTCTATGCGGGGAACTCAACAACAAGAAGAACAACAAGGGTTGCCTATGACTGTGAGTAGTGGAATGGATCGATCCCATGGGCTCGAAACGTGTCCTCTCTATTGCTTATCCGCTATGTTTGTACCCTTTAGGAATTGCCCACAACAAGTGATCGATCGCCGTTGGGCCGTCAAGTACGCCAACAGATGGAGAGTGGGATCCCTAAACACTCACAGCAAGTAAGCAAGCCTCTTGGGAGTAGCACTATGACTGTTGTTATTATCAGACTCCTTTTATCGGAGGTCCACTGCAACAAGCAGCAGCGTGGTCCCCCGGGCCAGTTGGTAGTGGTAGCACTCGGAATAGTGCACCACCACCTCCTCCACCTTATCCTTCTGATTACTACTATTCTGGCGGCGCTCCTGGGCCCTGGGGTCCGATATTCTGATATTATCAAGAAGGATAATAATGACGTTGTTGTTATCGTTCTTGTTGATTATTATCATCATCATAATCATTATCACAATCTTGTCGTTGTTGGTTTTTTCTGTTGTTCATTATTTGCTGCTACTACTACTACTACGACATTTGCTGCCACTACTACTTCTACAAGTTCTGCGACGGGTATATATCAGAGTACTTTGTATAACATGGGCCTTCTTTCTCAGTTAGAAGCTCATGTCGTTTATCATCATGATCATTATCATCATCACCACCACCCAGTATAGTAAGAGTGTTGATGATGATTCAAGGTTTGTGGCCTGACTGTTGTGGCGGTCTCTTCACTGATTCCACCGAGACAACCATCTTACTCTCCTCCTCCTCCTCCTACACGTACACTAGCATATTATACCCGACAATGTTGTTGTTGTTGTTGTTCCGTATCTTCATCATCATCATCATCATCTTCATCATCATCATATTCCATCCTTTGCAAGATTACCTAGCAGCATTAGAAGAAGAAGAACACCAATCTTTAGTGTTTAGTTATCTAGTCAGGATGGTGGTGTCTGATAAAACAAAGAAACCGAACATAATAACGGACGGAAACCAGTTGAAGTGATGGTGAACATGTGATTTCAGGACACCCTACGTGGGTATCCTCCTCCATTAAGCATTGGGGCCTTGGCAACCCATCCTCTTCATATCCGAGTGGGGGCTTTGGTACGATTACACCCACAACAGACTCCTCACCAACACTTCACCATGGCATCGCCAAATAATGAATGAGTTGAAGTGTGGTAGGAGACAGGAAGGTAGGAAGGCACATATGATGATGATCTCAGGCAGTGTAGTAGCGTTATCTGGTCTCAGGTATGAGGAGCCCCCTGCACTCGTTGTCATCATATGCGGTATCAAGAGGGAACATCTGCTATGGTAAGCTTACTCATCATACCTCATATGAGTATCCATCCCAGAGCCTCTTTCAGTTTTCGGTTGTATCATCGTCACCAGGGCTCCAGTCTTCGGGGACCTTCCTTTTTGTTGCCCGACAAGAACAATACACCCCTCCACATATTCTTAGTATATCCGCTTTTTCGACTCATGCAAAGTCACCTCAACGAGTACCATGCTGCAGCTCAGGGAGGTATGGTTCACATGATATGACCTCCAAATTTCAGGGCCTAACTTTTCTCCACAAATTCTCAGCATGCACGTTTTAAAATCGGACCTAATCTCATTCTATATACCAACAGAGAAATGACCTTTCACAACGGCAGCCTCCATACTTCAGCCCATATTTGAATGACCTATCAATTTCGTTTCTGTACGACAGTATTCACTCCATCATGAACCATCCTTGTATGAAACATACAAGGATGTGAACATCTGGTATGCCGCTGTAGGAACCGACTGTGAAGGGGCTCATACACTCCCTGTAGCTGTTATATAATCATCACCATAAGCTACTAGTACCCGTTTCAATGGTTACATAATGGTTCTGTCGTCATTGTCGTCGACTTATCCCTTGTCGATGCTATGTAGGAGGCATCGGGGGGACTCATGTCGACAACACAGATGTCGGTCGAACTATCCTACAATTGTGTATGTTGTGTTATTCTATTGACTCAATGCATGGCATGAACAGTGATAGTGGGGTTGGATTGACCGAGCCCATCGAAGGTTACCTTAATGTTCACATGCACGGAATATGCACGTAGTCTAGTACGAGTAGTCGCTGCTCATAGTAGGACATTCACGGCAGCGGTAGTGGAACCCAATGTTATCAAATTGGGGGTGACCAAGCAATGGTGGAGAGAGGCGAATAAACCGGTAGGAGGCAATAACACGCAGTGAACGAGTATTGTAACCGTACCTATAATAGCTCTATTGTGGAACTTATGGCATTGTGTGGATGCATACATCGATAAGAATCCTTACTAACTCCATCGTGGGACAGTGGATGTTGTCCGATTTCCCACTACTTCCTGGCTAAATGCAATAGCGTGAAATTCGGTCTCGGATGCAGGCATGATACGAGTGATCCGAGTTTGGTTATCAGTGTGATATTGATGGTAGGAGCAACAACAATTAGACAATGCTTACAGTGCGCATACCAGACGTAGCAGCTCGATAGTACTTCGTTGGCTACCCCTTCCGATTGTATGTGGTCTTAGTAGTGCTGAACGCTTCTCAGGTGATAGATGATCTCGAGGATGACACCAAGGAGAGGAATATCATTACAAAGCCACTGCGAGCTGGGACTATGCTGTACGGCAAGAAATGCACACGACTTGATCATCATGGCAATGGTGTCGTGAGTGATCCTCGATCATTAACTCCTTGGCACCCTTCTTGTTGTTCTTCTTCTACAGGTGCCGGTCTATTCTCGTGTTTGTAAGCATCTATATACTCCTACCCATCCTCGAGTCCTACCAGGGGATACAGTCGATCTTAGTATCGAGCGGAAGGTCGACTTCTGGGATCGTAGGACGTCTCCAAGATACGCCCTCACTATGTATGATACCAATTTCCCCCCGCTTTCTATCGACGCACTTGCTGCTCAGACAATCGGGAGTTAAGACTAGCGACCTGCGAGTTACGGATATTCCATGTGAACATTTCGTGGAGGGTTGCAGTGGATGCAAGATACTTCCTCTGCAATATAATGAACAAGTATCGTCTAGCTATGCATCGGTGATCTATGCTCATGATGATGATTATGATGACAGGTGAAAAGGAAAATCCGTTTCTTCAGCAAACTGTGCCCAAGCCAACCTCTCGAGTTCCACAAGAGCACACCCGAGTTGGGATTTAGTGAGTTCTGTGGGGATCTGGCTGGGATTGCTATCAAAGAGAGCAACGGCTTCCTCGTTGTGATGCCACATTGTCGTCTCTTTAGGTACCCTCAGCGTAGACATCATATTCAACGAAGCCAAGACGACGTCTGGCTCGACCGTGCCAATGGTGCAAGTAACTGATTGTCATTGTGATACCATAACTTGAGCCTTTTATTGGCAGTTCGGGACATTGAGGTTCGACACAGGACAGAACATGGCACTAGCTGAGTGTGCCTTATTAACACCATTGACGTCAAGGGTTCGTCATGTTGCTATGCTTGTTATCAAGGAAGCTGTAGAGGGCACTCGTGGCCTCAGACGGGACTCTAGGCTCACCGTCTATAGTGCGAGGAACGGCTCTGGTAGGCTATGCCGATGTCTTCCTGTCGTCTTCATACTCACATGCAAGGTATATTACGTCGATTATGGGTTCGTACGAATGACAGCGATACACAGGCCTTAGTAGGACTGGAGATATCACCAGGATGTTCGAAAGAATGTGAGCTTAACGGGAATAACGGAGAAAGATACAAGCCGTGCGGAGTGTTGGATAGAATACTTCTGATGTGCGATATTGCTCCTGGATTCCTTTTTGTCCATTCGTGTGATCTTTCTCCAGCATCGTGTCCTAGTATCAGATTCAGTCTATTGGATAAGTTCTCGTGCTTTCTTGTGTTTGGCCGTGTGCTCAGCGATGTCTTCAGGTCTGACTCAACTCAAGGCATTGGGTAGACGAATCAAGGACGCCTGTGGTAAGGCAGTGACCGGAGTGGTGAGGATCGAGAGCTATCAATATGCTAGTGAGGCCGCTGACCAGCACTATATCGATAGTCGTACGTCATTAGGGGTTGAAGAGGAGGAAGAGGAGGTCTCGTCTCGTGTATACGTCGGGGATGTCCCACTCGTGGGTGATGGATCATTACCAATGTCAATAGAAGGTTTCGATAAGTAATCCTCGACTCCCTTGAGCTATGTTACGGAGATGATGTCTCAGTCCGTATATGCTGCAGACGAGCGGCTACTACCCGTCTCACAGCAGCCTCGCTGGTATACTTCTCAATACTATTGTAAACATGTGTGAGACTGACGATCGCATTGTGGATTTATATGCATCACGTACTCACGGCCTCTTCACCGGGTGAGCTCAGTTGAGCTCAACATCCAGGCCTGTATGCATCTTGGTAGGCTCCTAGTTGCTGTCGGCAATCCTACTATTACATGCGTGTTGGATTCTAGAATGGTCGAAGGCAATCACACAATAGCGTCTTCTTTCAATGACGAGGATGCCCATTTCCTGGAAGTGTCAAATCTAAGCACCCCTGAGGGTTTGATCGACCTCGACATAGAAGGACCGGTAGGCACTCTCCTGTTAACGCCACCTCCAGAGGAGGGAGTGTCATCGTGTGTGCGGGAATGGATCGATGAGGTTGCGCCCCAGAGGATAGTGTATCATAATACGTCCTTCCAAAGTGCTACCGATGATATCAGGAACTTGGCCAAGAGCAAGCGTGATGGTGTTTCGTACAGAGTTATCGAATTGAAGGGCTTCGATACAAACCCTCATACAATGGAGTGCTCGATAGTGTTGCTTATGCAGAGGGAGGTCGATGAGGCGGAGGCCAAGGCCGCGGAGGAGAGGCGAAAGAGGAGCTCTGATAGCAGTAGGGATTACCTCGGCATCGATGAGGATGAGGAGGAGATACACTGGAACAGTGATGACGATCTTGATGTGGATAAGCTGGTCGCTCAGTATAGTGGCGGTGTACAGGGAGGTAAGGATGGTATATACGATCACACTGAGGAAGAGGAGGAGCAGGAGGAAGCACATAAGGAAGAGGAATGGAAGCTGCCAGTACAAGATATTGACCAACCTCCCGCGATTACAGACGAGCAGGCTTCTCCAACGATACCTGTGAACCCTCCTCTGCCTGGATTCGAGGAGGACAACGAGGGGACTAGTGTACAGAAGCGAAGGAAGCGAGCTGAGGCCGTGGAGGGTGATCCGAGTGTGCACAGGAGGAATAAGAATAAACGATGGAAACACTAACACATGCAGTTTAATGGTTTCTTGTGTGCCAAAATTTTGTTTTGTAAGAGTATTGCCTTCTATTGCGGTCAGTGCCATCGGCTGTATTCTATGGTAATTCTGGCTCAACAGTGAGTGTCTTCGAGGAGGCTGTCACCGATGGTGAATCACCCTCATTCTCCATCGGAGGGTCTGTGATGATCGGCGATCATTGAGGGCTCGTATGCTGCATTCGTATCTCCCATCATGAGCATTGAAATGTCGTGCCGGTCATGGTGCATGCTTTCCAGTCGTGGATTATGATTGTAGTGTCCTTTATACGGATGCTGTGGTTGCGGCTATCAGAATTTGAACACCGAACTGCCCGCACTAGGAAAGATATTTAGGTAAGCAATAGACTTCCTTTCCATCCGGTGGGCCCTCCTCAAATGTTCAGAATAGCGACGAGTCTGTGACTGCAGAAGACCTACGACAACGCGTGCATAGTGCTAGGGCGGACTGGCAGGCTGCAATGGATCCCTTCAAGGATGTCAACGAGTAAGCTGCCCTCTACTTGAATACCTGTTACCTTCGCTGTCCACAGCGCTATGGAACGTCTACTTCCTTATCAGCGCGAAGCGATCATCCACACGTTGATGCGCGGGTGTTGGCGATTGGAAAGCAGACTAAACGGTGCCGGGGAGCCACATAACGGGACGCAGCAAAACGGAAATTGGATGTTGTGAAAGTGAGAGGACGGTCGACTGGTGCGGATTCATGTGTGTCTATTGCAGATCGCTTGAGTTGGAAGAATTCAGCCACAAAAGCGGACGACCCAGACAGAAAAGTAGGTCGATCCGTCATTCGAATGACGGTTTCGAGGATACTCTCTGGCTGCTCTGCATGCTCTGGGAGGAGCAGTCAATTTACAGCTATTTATCATCTTTCAGCTGACCGAATTGAGAGAGGTACCACTAAACTTTAAAGTACTGAGGTTCAAATGCGGGGAACAGCGCAGGAAGCAGCAGCGGCTGTTGTGAAAGCCGAAGGTAACGTGCAAGCAGTAACTGTTAACTGAATCAATGAACACTCTTGTTAGGCTCAGAAGATCGAATGAGTGAGACGAAGCTTTCCAGTTGGAGGTTTTGCGTTTTAGTGCCATTGGCGCAACGCCAAGTGATTAGCAAAATGGAGTGGATGCGGAACATTGGCCAGTAATACCGGCCCAGTTTTGCTGGCAGTGTTACCAGTACTGGTATGGCATTCACATGCTCAGAGTTTCACAAGGGGAGTGGATGAATGCTCTACCTAGTAACTCCTGACTCTCACTACAGAGCCCTTTCGATCGGTGTCTATTCCAAGCGATTTGATTCGTCTCGGAGACACCATGTCTTTGAGACAAATCGATTGGCTTGGCATATTTGACGTGAGCCCCCATTATAATCATAGAAAAAGCATTCGCAGTGGCTCTCTTACAAGAGAGTCTCTTGTATCCGATTGGGGCACGGCCGTTGAAACTTTCCGTTGAAACTTTCCTTGATAACGAGCCGTTTATGAGTTGGTCATACTATTCTTCTGCTTTGAGACTCCGGCCAACAACTTCAGACACCTTCATCAGTCCACGCGACCTTCTTCCCCACCGACCTCTCTCTTCAACTCACCTCTCGATGCATCTGTTGCTCCAGTTTGTGCGAGCAATAGCCGTGACAAGGGGGAATGTTTCAGACACGGTGCCGTGCGACAGTCGAGAGAAACGTCACTTGCTTTAGCGCCGGGAAATCCCGGATGGCTGTCAGTAAACGAGGGAAAGGCAACAATACGTGACTACCGATAGCTCGGAGGGGTTATACAGACCCACAAACACAACACGAACAATCTCGTTTACCAGTGGCGGCATAAAACCAGTAGTAACTAATAGTTACGCTACCCCTCGGAGATGGCTTATGGGACTGGCAGTCCCGAACTGCACAGCGCGAAGCGTCGTCATCGAGACTGTAACCTGAAATTGATGTCCTTATCCGCGAAACTGATTTCCCTATTCAACCCTGGCCGCTGAATTGAAGTCCCTATTCGCGAATGTAATATCCCTGTCTGCTAAATGGGTAGCTTTACCCGCCGAATAGATATCTAGAAGGTATAGATGCTCACAGATGTTTTCTGTAGCTGCCTCACATTGCGGGTGATTCGGCTGTATATCGTTTCGTAGTTTTCGTTTGCTCCGGACATCTTTGTGAAAAAGGAAATTAGAGAAAAAAAGTTGGCGACAGCAACAGCAACTGGAGCAGAATTGAGCCGCTCTGAAGGCTTGCTAAGGGACGAAAGGCCCAAAAGACGAAATCGATAGACATAAGCCTAAAACAGAACAACGTGATTGCTGTCTCATTTACTAATAGTAATTAAGGAAACTTCAATTGGCTTCGCGAAGAAATTTGGCTGTATCGCATGCAGCAGTGTCATATCTACATGGTGCACTAGCAACCAAGGATGTATGCAAATTAACCGCTCAGCAATACCCACACCCCAGTCCCATACGGGATGGATCATCGAAGTCGAGTACATGACTGTACTGACTACACCTCCATTAGGGTGGGGTATACAACTCCTCATCACGGTTTAGGGTTTTGTCAAGAGTACTCTTGTGAACGAAAGGTAATCACTACATAAGTGATCCTGTTCGAGTACAGTCGACACTAGACTTTGTCATGGATTATCCTCTTCCTGATGAGATCTGTAGAAGGAGCGGTAGGGCGGTTCATCACAGAAATATGTCCCTCTTAACAACGCATCTAGTGGAAGTGGATTCTTCACTCCTCCAGTCGCAGCTTCGGACAACGGACTACGACTACGCCTAGTCTCATAGAGGCCTCTCTTGGATAGAGCCCAGATGGAGGCTCACCAAGCCTGGCTCAGTACACTCCGACTATGTTAAACCGTTTTGGGTCCAAGTTACTCAGTGCCTTCATAGCCTCTACAGTAAGCTACGGTGCGTTCTATCGAGAGGGGATTTCATTAGTTTTTTTTTCGGAAAATACAATTATCATAAAGCATGATACACCGAGTCATGCGAGTACAACAAATCATCATGACATGTCTTATACTGCGAACTCGGTCGACTTAATTACGGCCACTCTTCCTCCTTGGCCGCCGCTTCATCCCTTTGATTCAGTCTTCAGTCGTCCAAGAATCCGAAGAGCTTCGGTCCAGATCCAACTTCGAGGCTCGCCATCTTCAAGTTGCTGCGAGTGCTTCAGGTCCAGTCTTCTCCAACTCCCTCCGTCCTTCAGGTTCTTCTCTCGAGGCTTGACCAACAAGAACTGGATCCAGCATATGGTAGAGTGCCAGGGTAGGTACCGGTAGACGTGTCACTGGTCAAGATTGGCCCAGGTGCTGAGGGACTCAAAAGCATGAGATCCCCACCTTCTATGCGCAGGTACAACATCCCGGAGGGTAGGCGCAAGAAGGAGCTGACCCATTGGAGAGGTCAGAGCAGCATGCATCGAGGCATCAGTCCCTTGGTCCTCTCTAACCCTAAAGGTTAGCAGAGGATGGAGCTAGGCTCTCTTTTCATTTCTTTTCTGGTGCTCGGGACTTGAGTTCATATAGTAAGAACTCGCACCGTGCTCGAGGCACAGACCACAAACCTCTGGCGTAGGCAAGATCCAGAGGCGGGTCTTAGCGACATTAGAGATCGCAAGGACCAAGTGACAGTACCGGACACCACACCACTAGACCAAGGGGCACGAAACCCATCACCCGGCTTGATTGCTAGACATCCCGGAGGGTAAAGCCTGCAGTGACCCAGGGGTAGCTTGCCGCGCCCTGGCATGGTCCGGCCCATAGCCTTTACCAGGAACTTGTGGACAGCGGCCTCAAGAGCAAGACACATCCGGACTTCAGGAGGATTTCATTAGTTGACTGCCCTGATAGTCTGAGAGCTTTCTTGAACCCTAATCATACGGGAAGACCATGCTATCCCACGCGATACTCGTCAGTTAACTCAATACATTTAAGATTGAAAAGCACTGAATTATTCATTATAAGTCTGAGATCATCAGGAGTAAGGATAAATGGGCGAGATAACTTAGACCAACATGACAGGTAATCATATCTATGCTGTGCCAAAAGGAAGCTAGTAGCAAGGAACAGAGATCTGCTCATTCCGCTGCTACAGTCGTCCCCTCCACAGAGGTAGCTCCACAATCCTCAGATCGAACGACGCTCATTCGAGTAGTGCCTGAGGATCAACGCTCAAGTAGAAGGATCGAGGTCGTTAATGCTCCATATACAAATAGCCCGAGAACACGGGGACCTCAGGTGACCCACTCGAAGTGCCACATGCCTTCCACAGCAGTAAGAGTAGTCCTCCGGCAACACTGCAGCAACCCCCCAAGACGAAACTCGCGCTATCGGAACCCGCAGCTGTGTTGAGGGGGCCGCCAACGAGGGAGAGCAACAGCTGCGGGATACACACCGCGACGTTGAGAACCTATCAAGGACTCACAGTATAGGGAGAGCCTGGGCTACATACTGGAATCATTATAACAAGTGGCTCTGTATACAACACGATATACTCCTTGATGGCTACGATACCGACTGTTGCGGAAGGTGTTGACTTACTCCCATCATAGCTCCACCTCCCTCATCCTCCTCAGCAAGGTGCTCATTCTCATCCTCAGATGAGGCCACATGTGATATCGATGCTACTAGAGCATATGGGACGGAACATGTCACTGCATACCTATCGGACAATGGGGTGGTAAAGCGAAGATCAGCTTACATTGGACCAACAGCAGCAAGCCACATCTGAGTCTCTAAGACACCAACACTAACGTGTTTCAATAGAGGAGCTATGCTCAGTACGACACCCAAGAGCAGGCAAGATACCCCCCATAGGGGATAAGGCGATCGACCGTCCCTTCGAAGGACGATGGTGAGGATCTACGCTGGGAGGCATCGAACCAAGGCTCATCAGGACCAGCAATGTCTCACCAGACCGGCAATACCGGAGAGTATTGCAGCACCGAGCATACCCCCAGCAGCAACGTGCATTGCTTCTTCATATCTGATACGGTACGGGAGGTCCAGGGTTCGAGACCTGGTCGTGACGTTTCTACTCGGGACCACTGTCTCCACCATTGAGGAGCTCCACTGCTGCAAAATGGGACTGGTATATTTGAGAGGCGAACCAGCCCATCCACGACAGAAGAGTCGCAACCTAATAGACGACGAGGGTCGACCGACTACGAATACGGTGATGATGTGCGATGTGGGGGGGCTTTACATAGATGAGGGTGTAGTCAGAAGGCAAGGCTCGGAAGTCCACACAGCATAGCTTTAGAGGGTTGGAGAGTATAGTACGGATGGACATACTATATCGAGGTATGTGCTGAACTTCACGGCCTGCCACACCTGAATGGAATGATTGGTAGGCAATAGGACTGCCTCCCTCTTAACACTCTGTCACTCTATGCTTATTGAACATGAGAACACAGGATAGAAGACCCGAAAGCAGACGTTATCCCAGCCCACAGATGAGTCGGAGTACATCTTACATGCAATGAGCACTGTGACTGCAACTACCAATATATTAACACTGAAGGCCGATCGAAGATCATAGCATCCTGGTACGTATTCAGGAGGGCCTGTCGGAGGTACATGCTGTGAGATGAACGTGATGATACGGAATACATTGGTCTTGCTGATGAGTGAGGGCACACTGCTTCGGACAGGCTCCTGATAGATTGACCCCCATAAGGGTTAGTAATGGGGACGCCACGTCCCAGGTAGACCCATTAGTCCCCCAGTCACGGACTGCAGCCCACGACATACGGCAACACAAGTAACTGAATCTCGATGCCTTCATGACTAGTCGATTGGAGCTCACCCTGAGATCATCCCCAGTGCCCACCAACACTGTTGACAGCTGTATGCCAAGGATAGCTGAGTGTCTGGTACGGTGTCCGATATGAGGGCTCGAAACACTACCGCTAGGACCTACCATCAGTTATACCGAGGTGTATCCATACTGAGCATTGGGAGGGGACTAAGGGCCAATTGGGACTCGATTAGAAAGGTCCTTCAGCCGAGTGCCTAGTGTTATTGATTCGCCTCGTTAGGTCAATGACAGCATGGCTATCGCATCTTAGTCAGCGAAGACTATGCTGTGATGATACTTACGTTGTTAGATGCGTCGAATAGCCAGAATGCCAATACGAATAGGAATATCGCCCAACGATGGTCATCGGCACCATGATCCCCCAAAAGGACACCGAGGTCTAATGACCAAGCTATCAGAGATAGAGATATCATCAATAGTACGGTGCCACCAAGAGCATACCTAAAATGATGGATTCGATCGATGATAGACGGAGCATGCTGTTGAGATGATTACGGACGACGTCGTCCCCATTTATGCTGGCATTGGTCACTGAGCCTCCCTACTAAGGGTTGGATAATCATACCAGTAACCGGACCACATAACCACAAGTAAGAGGACATAGTCTCCGAGATGCCTAAGGTGATCCTACTAGAGGGGTCTGATGTTACTGCTATAGAGAGAGCTCGTCATTACCAAGCTTCATCCCAAAGGGTGTTAATAATGCAAACTGTAGAGCAAAACCAAATGATACACCGAAGGGTCCAACTGTAAGTAGTATGATCCACCTACACAGAGTACTCTGTCATCAGCTACTACGAGGTAGGCTCCTTACCATAGAGGTCGGCGATTGTTATCAAGTGTTGTATCGTCCTCGGTCATCTCTCTATATCGTGCCGTGAGACATAAGCTCATATAATCTCAAGTGTCCAACAATAAGGAGAACACACTCTAACACAACAATTGGTGATAGCCTTAAGCAACCTTCCTCGAATGGGTCTCTGGTCAATACCAAGAACACCTTCGCCAAGTAGTCGACCCCCCAATCGCCGTAGTAGCCATTCGACACACCGCTGGGCTTCGCACATCTCACGAAGCCTTGTACTACATGGTGATGATGACCGGTAAGTATCCATCACGACTCTGCTCACCCCAACCGTCGAAGTCGGTGTTATCAAAAGAAATAGTAGGGAGTCCAGGGACTTACAATATTCCAAGGGAAGACTGTCCATCATGGCAGCCTGACCGAAGGTCACCGAATTAATAAACTTTCCCGTACCACTACTTTGGTACGTATGCACTTGTATACCCGCATCCCGAGGATACGTAGTAATCTGGATACTATCCAGATTAGTATGTACATAATCGGTCATTCGTTCCCATCCCACCCATATAGAGCATGGGCATGGCATGACCCTTGGAGGTACCATATCGACGTACACATTACATTTAGATGTATGTATGGGCTTCAAATATTTACTGACATTTGATTCTTGGAGCCCTTGTTGATGCCAGGGCCATGTTCCTATATAATGTATGTGGAGGTGCACAATCAGTTGATGCCAACTCAACGAGTCGAGTCGACAACCTTGTATGTGTACAGCGTGATATGGTGTGCTCTCCTGCTAGTGTCTAATGTGAATTTCACATTGTCAATCTAGGATGTAATGGAATGGGGAAGCGACAAACTCAAATTTCCAGTGCCACATTGTTACCCGTATTCCACGTCCAGGACGGACTTGCATGAAACCGATCAATATGGCGCGCGCGAGCGTCATCGCTTGAAACTCAGCTTTTTTAGTCAGCGCGGCTTCAAAGGATGACATTTCGAAGCTTTGAACCCCGTATCTTATCACGTATAGTTCACTATGTAGGAGTGGATTGTGAAGTGATTGATAATAATAAGGAATTCCTTTGCTGGATTAGATAGTACGCTTCGTAACATTTCTTGTATGTTACCCCAATCAACCTATAGATACGTCTCCGGGTGACAAGACGTTAAAGTGAGCTTCAGTTAGGCTGTGTTGTGTCGTACTGTGTTTCGATCTCGCGAGATAGTCGAATAACTCCGTGATTGCGGGGCTCTATCGGGTCCGGAGTATGTTGAACTCTATCTATGTATAGGTTGGCGATGATAATTCGAAATGGAGTGGTAGTCTCTTCAAATTGGTCTTATAATTCATACCGTGCTACATTTATCGTACGATCCTTGGTTGGTCAGTTTCCTCTTCCTACCACCTATGTCCTGCAAGTCCGGTTGCGCTAGCTTCTGCTCAATTCTCTCGGCTGGTAGGTTCCTAGTTGCATCAACCATTAATATAACGTCTCTCTCAGTTGCCGTACCGGTCCTCGTTTACTTTGCCCTCCTATGCGGTTCGGGTTCTCGCTTGATTGAGGTAGCCGATTCCAAGAAGCCCTCTGCAGCAGTTGGATGTTGGATTGCCGCCGCACTGTAAGTCTCCCTTCCACTGGACACCTATGTTCAGCTGATCTTCTTAGGTACGCATTGACGTTTATTGGGTGTTATTCCTACAAGAAGAAGCTCAGTCGTCAAGAGAAGGCCCAAGCTGCTGCTAACTACCAGTTGGCTGAGTAAACTGACTGTTAAGACATGAAAAGACAGCGACACTTCCGTCACTCGTATCTTGAGCCATAGAAGGCTAGTTATGCAGTGCCCTATGATCCACGTACAAGGTTATCACCCGACTCCAGTAGTGGTAGGTCTAGTTCACCTCAACAGCTATCAGGGTTCATCAGCTACTGCATTCTCCCGCTAATACTACTCCGGTGATTCTGAGGTTGTATCTAGTATCTCTCGAGGAGGTTATCATCACTGTCAGCCCGTCCTTAATGGGAGGGTCATTATCAGCGATGGACCTTTCTCAAGTTCCTGCTGGATGAAAGTGTATCTTTGTCGTGGTATCAGTTGCTTCGTTTTTTATACATTTGCGTAACAGTAATATTGTGTTGTTTTGGTCAATTATGTGATACGTGACAACTACCAAACCCTCAATAGTTGTTTGGCATTGTTCAACACCTCGGCTCACTCACATCGATCTACTTGCGCCATGTAAGTCATGTTTTGCGAGTTATCACAGTGTGATTCAATTACAGGTACTCTTGTGATTTGGAACGTTTTCTTGCACTTACTGCAAATCCTCATTATTTTCCTATAGCATCGAAGGTCAAAGATTTAATTTCGAGTAGCCCTGCGAAGGGTGATGTAACCAATGAAGATTATCTACCCACTTCGTCAGAAGTGCAACGACGACGGAGTTCTCGTAGCGGTCCTAAGGTCTCGAGCTCGCACAAGGCGGACTCGATCGACTCCGAATTGGTGTATGAATTCGGCCTTGCAGTGGAAGAGTGTCTCGAGATGTGTGCCCGTTGGGGCCTCGATGATATTACCAACATTTCTGATACGACGACGGAGAGCGATGCTTCGGAAGAGCCATGGGTTATATTACCCGACTGGAGAGAGAGCGAAGATTTCATTATGGTATCGGTAGAAAAAGCATGAATCGATTTGTATGCAAAATTAGGAATATCGTTATGCAAATGATGTTGTGTTGGTCTCATTAGTAACGGCTCAAGCCATTCCTCATTGACGCTCTCCAAGTCGGCATAGCCACATGTACTGTCCATCATATTCTCTCCACAGTGAAGACTCCCGATTGTGACTGAATTGAATGAAATCCCGCCCATGAGTGATGATATCGACAATTCTTATACCGAGATTAAAGTGGGCCCATGCTATCATCGAGAACCTTCGAGAACCAACGCGATTTGTTCTCAATAGACTTCTCGTGAATGTGATGAGGGAAGAATGGCGTTGATAGAGGACATAACCTCGTCAGTTGGGTCGTCGAATGGGAGAGACTTAGGCTACTGATGTGGTGATGGTGTGGTATGAGCGGAGACTATGATCACAGATCTGGAGGCTAACCAATGAGTTATAATCCATCGTAGAAGGCTCCAGTAACATACTACGGAGGGAACTAAATACTCGTGCATTATGAGAAACGAGTGTAAGGTTCAGTGGAGATGACAACAACATTAGCAGCAGCAGTAATGGTGTGGTATATGAGTAGTCTATTAGTAGATAGCTCAGACATAATTATTACGGATTGCGAAATCGACGACCGTGAATACCGCTAAAAGAATAAGGACTAAGTTCCTCCTACCAGTGTTGTCTATTACCTGCCGATGCTGCACTGTATTTGGCGACGGCGATCCAACTGCCACTAGTGGCTTTAAAGAGAGCTCCACTAAGGGCCCCAGCCCCAACAGCATTGAATTGATCATCTTTACCACCACGAGCCCATGATACCAGTCCATTAAATGCAACATAATACATTGCTAAATGTAAGGTATACACCACCACGACTAAGCAGGATTATTACTTATAATGGCTGCCTGATTGGCCAAAGCTGGCCCCTGTGTCGACATTGCATTCATAACTGCATTTACTCGTAGCTTTGAAGTTGCTCCTCCTTTCTGTAAGCCTTTCAATAAACCAAATGTACCACCGACAAGCATGCCTAAAGTTTATGATAATATAACGACGTCCCCGCGACCACCGTCGTCTTTAATGATGATAATAAGTGAGCATCGCCTACCACTGCCGTATGAGAGCCCCACTGAATAGGTCATCTTCTCACCAAACTGTCTACCATACCCTTGAAGATAAAGATTCTCTGGCACTGACTTGTGGTTAACAGCCGACTGAGAGGAAGACCACGAGGGTGATGATGATGATGGATCGAGGGAAGCCTTTGGTACCTGTCGCTTGGCTTGGTTCAATATACCAACAGATTGAACGCCTCCAGAGTTTAAATAATCATCATTTTCAGCGATGCTGGCGGACATTATGTTGATGGAAAAATTGCCTAGACGAGCAGTGAGCACCATACTATACCACTCCACGCTCAACTCAAGGCTGCTATCGAGGTTACTACGAAGGATCATTGAAAGTATGAATAACTGGGAGGACCGTTTCCTTCCATTGACTGCACCAATCGAGTTGTCGCCATTCTCGAGCCTTTTCCATCATCGACAAACTGATTGAAAGACCGTATTATTGGTGGGACGCTGGAACGACTACTACCGAAGCTGCTTCGATCGGTCACCTTGTAGAAGTAGTTTGTCAAACAAGTTGGTAACATCATGTGAAGTGTTAAAGGTGAGCACACCAGCGGCATCAGCTGAAAGGTGGTTATCATCATAGTCTAGGTATGATTCACTGGGAAGAAATAGTCCATAGCAACGTACGATAAGGCAACGTGATAGATATGAGAAGATTGCTGGTTAAAGTCTATTTAAGAATATAAATGGTTATTATGATTCCTCCTTCTCCTCATGAACGTTCCTAACCCTTCATCCTTCTCCTTTTTCTCCTCCTACCAAGTTCCCCAAAAGCCTCAAAGTCGCGTCCAATGACTGGAAGATCAGCCCCCAACATATCCACGACTTTCATTGGTAAATCTAATCCCGAAGACGATTGATGTAAGGATATACCCACGTCAACAGAACCTAAACCTATCACTGTCACGCGCCACCACAGCAGCATTGGATGTCATCAACACACCTAGTAAGAGGGGATAGTCCAAGACAGACAACCATGGTGTATATAACTTGATGTTAGAAAGGCGTAGATCCTCAAAAGCTCGAACGAAGGCTTCCTTACATGGACCTTTTCCCGTTATGAAAAATACCTGCAAGGAACTCCGTAAACTACTCGCCATGCCTGTCGTCGTCGTCGTCGTCGTTATACTTGTACAGATCGGAATATTATTACCAACAGTTTGTCTTTCTCTCGCAAAAGATAGTCGATTTCCACTAATCCTGGTAGTAGCATTAGGAAATCCTCATCAGGAGTCCATGATGTACCTACCAAGAATAGGAAGTACACCATATTCAAGACATCATCATCATCTCCTTACTCGATACCATAGTGATAACCTTATCACTAGTAAGATCCTCCTCAACTACACCATATGATGACCGCAACTTCTCATACAGCTTTATACGATCACTATCTGATGTTCTACCATGGAATCTATCTCTCAATGGCCTGTCGTAACACGTAACAACGTGAGAGACCTGAAGTGTGAACGGGTTGATGATGACATTAGGATCAAATAGTAATTAGGTAGATCTACTTGGGTACCACCTTCCATTCATCTCTGAGGAATCCTTCCATTTTATGTGTAACACACAGACCATAATCACACTTAGATGCCCAGAATGCCTCATAGACATGGCTCAATCGGACAAGTAAATGGTGTGGACCCAACTTCTCCCCTAGGATGGTATACCTGACTATTAGCATGGGGGGAAGGCAGATCACGACAGCAGTTGGATAACTGCCCTTATCCCGAATGCATTACGCTAAGTTATGGAAGTCAACAATGAGTTTCGATCGGCGTATGAAGGTAACAATACTAGCTATGATAAGAGTAGGGATAGCTGGGGGAGTTTGGACCTACCAATGGATCTACCAGACCACTCCACCACGACCAGGATGACGACGACATAGGATCAGGGTGAGAATTAGAGTAATGATAAGAATCCTTATTCTCCCTGGGACGACTACCATAATCAGCTTAGGAGGAGGTAGTTCAAATAGTAATATCCACAACAACTGAGTACCTTCATAAACCAGTTTACATAGAGCATAGATTATGTATCTGAGTATGATTAGACTCTGCTGTACAACAACAGATCGGCACTCACGGTATCGATATCCTCGATACGAATGGTTTCATATACCGTAGAGTGATGTGTTTAGAAGCTATCACTTCCTTCATAGGCTTGGACCTGATGCTGCTGCTCTTGTTGTAGAGAGGTGCATGATAAGAGTAATATTACCCTGGGTATCCTAGGATGATGACGTCCATGTCGGCTTGCTCAGCTAAGGAGATTGAATGATATCTAATTGATGATAATGATGAGCATATCAAGACTACTACATACTGCATTCGTGGAGAGTGTCCAATATCCCCTAATACCATCACTACTGCTAAACCACGGTTACACTTCATATATGGCTGCCGCCGCCGCCGATAGAGCATATACACAGCTAGTGTCACCACCATCACCACCATAATGAAGGGGACTATAATGGGACAACAAGCGGGAACATGAAGTATATCCATAGTAATAAAAACTAACATAGATCGACTCATACAGTACTACTAATCTACCCAGAATGAGTTTATTCCATCCTAAATCCTCCCAACACAATGCTCCTTATAGTGTACCTCCAATAAACTAGTAGTTCCCCTCACACAGTGGCTCCTCCTCCTCCCTCGTCAGTTACCTTACCACCTGCATCACCAGGGGCTGTAGCATCTGAATAGTGATGATGGTAATCACTCGTGAATGACCATAGGACATTGATTGTCGTTGTTGTTATCGATTTAGACTATAATTCCCATATTAAGTATATCACCTGCATCATCAGAGGTATGTTCATGTTGTTCCTCCTTTTCTCGACCCCTTTCAAAATACTTTTCCAGATCCTCATCATACTTCTTAGCTAGAGCATCCTCCCCTTTGTAACGCAATAAGGCCTCATCCTGTGAGATGTTATCCTAACAGACCACCATCCTACTACCACTTACGAGCTGTTCAGCAGTAACTCCTTCCTTTCTGGTTCGACCCTTCCCTTTACCTCTAAAATAAATGTCGCCAATTGTTCGAATGCCACCTATTAGGTCCCACTACCCCTTCCTTTCGGAGTTTTTCCACGACCCAGCAGATGATCGTCTAGTCATAAATCCTCCTCCTCTTCGACCTCCTTTACCCTTCCCTACTCTACCGCCACCACGTTGGTTATATTGAACCATGGCAAAGAACTATAGTGGTAGTAGATATATGAGGTGTATGTCGAGGACATGATGCCCTCATACCACTCCGCTTCCTCATCGTAACCACAGTTATCAGGTGGCTCATGCGACCTAAGCCACAGATATTTCTCAACTCCGAATCGTAGACGTAGCCTCTCTTCGCTACGTCATCCATCGACCCAGGCCTTGCCCAATGATAAACAAACCTTCTAAATGCGCGAGGCAAGTTTTGCCTCGCTCCGCTTCTTCAATATCTCGCTACGCAAAGTTGATCGATAAAGTCTGCATTGGCTACCGCAAACCAGCCTGTTACGCCGTAGGTTGGCAGTTCCTCAGTCGCAATGGTCAAGACGGATCCTTCTATCAGCATGAAGGTAGTAACCTCTGGGGGTATCGTACGGTAAACCCCGCGTTATCAGGAATATGTAGCGTATCGGGTGTAGCTGAGTATGATGTTGTTATGTTAGATGCACCTGTACCAACTTGTTGGTCGGGCTGCTCCTTCCGTTAAGAACCCCAAGCCTAAGATCTTCCGTATGAAGATGTTTGCTCGTAACTCTGTTGTTGCCAAGTCCAAGTTCTGGTAATATGCCTACCCTAATATCTACATATACTCCTCCTTTTTAGGTATTATATGAAGCGTATTACCAAGGCTAAGTTGACAGGAGGTGAGATGCTTGGTATCACTGAGTGCTTTGAGAAGCATCCTACTACCGTTAACAACTACGGTATCTGGCTTCGTTATGACTCTCGTTCTGGCACTCATAACATGTAATGCTGAGGGATGTTGTCGTATTCATTATCAAGTTGTTATTGTGTATCAGTATAAGGAGTACCGTGATACCACTCTTACTGGTGCCGTTGGTCAGATGTATCAGAGATGGCTGGTCGTCATCGTGCTCTTGCTTCTAATGTGCAGATCATTAAGACTGCTACTTTGAAGAATGATGAGTGCCGTCGCTCCCACATCA